ATAAAATACTGGCAAATCAGATCCAAGAACACATCAAAACAATCATTCACCACGATCAAGTAGGTTTCATCCCAGGAATGCAGGGATGGTTCAACATACGAAAATCCATCAACGTAATCCACCATATAAACAAGCTGAAAAACAAAAATCACATGATCATCTCACTAGATGCTGAAAAAGCCTTTGACAAAATCCAACACCCCTTCATGATAAAGGTCTTGGAGAGATCTGGGATAACAGGGACATACTTAAACATAATAAAAGCTATATACAGTAAACCAACAGCCAACATCAAACTAAATGGACAGAAACTCAATGCAATTCCTCTAAAATCAGGAACAAAACAAGGCTGTCCACTCTCTCCATACCTTTTCAACATGGTACTTGAAGTTCTAGCTATTGCCATACGACAACAAAGGGGGATCAAGGGGATACAAATTGGGAAGAAAGAGGTCAAACTTTCACTGTTTGCAGACGATATGATAGTTTACATCAGTGACCCAAAGAACTCTACCAGGGAACTCTTACAGCTGATTAACACCTTCAGCAAAGTGGCAGGCTACAAGATCAACTCAAGAAAATCAGTAGCCCTACTATATACAGATGATAAAAGGGCTGAAAGAGAAATCAGAGAAACATCACCCTTTATAATTGCCACAAACAACATAAAATACCTTGGGGTAACGCTAACCAAACAAGTGAAAGACCTGTATCGTAAGAACTTTGAATCTTTAAAGAAAGAAATTAAAGAAGCCTTCAGAAAATGGAAAGATCTCCCATGCTCTTGGATAGGTAGGATCAATGTAGTAAAAAATGGCAATCCTGCCAAAAGCAATCTACAGATTCAGTGCAATCCCCATTAAAATCCCAGCACAGTTCTTCACAGAACAATAATCAATTTTGTATGGAAAAACAAAAGACCCAGGATAGCCAAAACAACCCTGTTCAACAAGGCAACGTCCGGAGGCATCACCATCCCTGACCTTAAGCTCTATTACAGAGCTATAGTCCTGAAAACAGCTTGGTATTGGCACAAAAATAGACAGGTAGACCAATGGAATCGAATTGAAAACCCGGGTATTAACCCACACACGCACGAACATCTGATCTTTGACAAAGAAGCTAAAAATATACAATGGAATAAAGAAAGCATCTTCAACAAATGGTGCTGGCATAATTGGAGACTGGCATGTAGAAGAATGCAGATCGATCCATGTCTATCGCCATGCACAAAACTTAAGTCCAAATGGATCAAAGACCTCAACATAAATCCAGCTACACTGAACCTCTTAGAAGAGAAAGTGGGTGGTACCCTTGAACGAATTGGTACAGGAGACAGCTTCCTGAACATAACACCAGTAGCACAGGCAGTAAGATCAACAATTAATAAATGTGACCTACTGAAACTGAGAAGCTTCTGTAAGGCAAAGGACACAGTCAGCAAGACAAAAAGGCAGCCCACAGAATGGGAAAAAATATTCACTAATCCCACATCTGACAGAGGGTTGATCTCCAAAATTTACAAAGAACTCAAGAAGCAAGTCTCCAAAACACCAAAGGACCCTATTAAAAAGTGGGCTGCAGAACTAAATAGAGAGTTTTCAATAGAGGAGTCTAAAATGGCTGAGAGGCACTTGAGAAAGTGCTCAACATCCTTAGCCATCCGGGAAATGCAAATCAAAACAACTCTCAGATACCATCTCACCCCTGTCAGAATGGCTAAAATCAAAAACACCAATGACAATTTATGCTGGAGAGGATGTGGTGAAAGGGGGACACTCCTCCATTGGTGGTGGGAGTGCCAACTGGTTCAGCCACTTTGGAAATCAGTGTGGAGATTCCTCAGAAAAATGGGAATAAACCTACCACAAGACCCAGCAACTCCACTCTTAGGCATATATCCAAAAGATGCCCATTCATACAACAAAGATGTCTGTTCCACTATGTTCATAGCAGCTTTATTTGTAATTGCCAGAACGTGGAAGCAACCTAGATGTCCCTCACCTGAAGAGTGGATAGAGAAAATGTGGTACATCTACACAATGGAGTACTATTCAGCAGAAAAAAATAATGGAATCATGAGATTCGCAGGCAAATGGATGACACTAGAAGAAACCATCCTGAGTGAGGTAACCCAGTCACAAAAAGAGAAACATGGCATGTACTCTCTCATATATGGATTTTAGACATACATCTCGGGAGTGCCAGCCTACAATCCTATGGCCAGAGAGTCTGGGAAACAGAAACTTTATTTAGTGGCTGATCGAGGAAGAGGCAGACTCCCTTGGTTAAGTACTGAGCTGAACTCAAGAAAGCCAGTAACAGAGAGGGAGGACTGATGATCAAAGGGATTAAGACTGGGCTGGTTTAACCCCCAGAAACAGCTGACCAGACAAAGGTTAACTCTTGAATCCCAGGCATTAGCCTGGGAAGCCAGCATGGGACTGATCAAGACCCCCTGAATCTGGGTGTCAGTGAAGAGGCCTAGGGAATCTATTGAGCCTTGGGCAGCAGATCAGTACCCATCCCAAGTATACACATGGATTTTGGACTCCAATAGAACAATGTGAGGTGCACTCTCACCCTGTACTCTTGGGAAAGGGTCTAGGCCCTGCCCTATATGAAATGACAGACTATGGACACCCCCATGGAGGGCCTCACCCTCCCTGGAGAAATGAGGGGATAACGGGGGGGGGGATGGGGGGAGGGCACGGGAGGAAGGGAGGGAATGGGAGAGGGACCTGGAACTGACTTGTGAAGCAACCTTGATTCTTATCTAAATTTAAACTGGAAAATAAAAATAAAAAAAAATAAAAAAAATTGTTAGCTACTCTTTTTCTTTGTATCTTGCATTTTGTTGTGGGATCCTGGAAAAATACTATTAAAGAAAGGTTGGGGGCTCTCTTGGCCATTTACCATGTCTCACAGTCTCCTTCACCTGAGGACATGCAGACTGATACCATCACCAGGAAAGCAGGCTGCCACTGGGTCTTCACTGGCTCCTTTGTGTTGCTAATGATCTGTTGACGTGGTGTTGACTAGTCTACAGGTGTTTGTTTTACATCTATCTCCTTGATGAAGTCTTCCCATGAAGGGAGGTGAACTTTAAAACTAGATAACGTGGACTTATGTGGCCACTATTACAAGTCTGAATTTTGTTTTCAAGTTTAAGGGGAAGCTTTGGAGTGATCTGACTGTTGCTTTAGGAAGAACATAAAATTTCAAAAACACTATCTAGAAGAGTGCTGTTGAAGGTGGACAGCAGCTGTGTTTGCACTGCAGAATCATTACAGTCTTTCTGAAGCTTCGGGTGTGGGATGTGAAGGAAACTGAGGCCCAACATGAAAAACTGAGGTCAATGACGAGGTGAAGACAGAATGTAAAGGACAGCCATTCCCATCAGCAGAAAGGGTTGTGGGTGCTCAGCTGGCAGGAAGGATACAAACGTGAAGCAGAGATACAAAGAGACTGCAGAGCAGAGCTAGGCGGCAGACAAAATGTCTGTTTCACTTCTGGCCACTGAGGAAGGATGGCAGGCAGAGAAAATGGCTGGTTAGTTAGCTTTCAGGAAATGGTATCAAAACAAGACTGTTAGAGAGGATGTAGTGGCATTGAGACACAAAGGTTATGGAAGGAAAGTTGAGAACACAGAAAGAAAAAACACCAGGTTGCTTAATGCTGGCAAAGTGCCTTGGATAACAGGCTGAATGTATATGTTAATATAAGAGAGAAACAATGCTAAGTGGGGAAATCTGGGTTAAAAACTAGTGTATGTAACTTACCAGTATTCTGTTTCTAACTGGAATGTCTGCTTGACAGGAGCCATGAGGCAGGGGACCTCCAAGTTCACTTGAAATAGGTGGCTGTTCCCTAATTTCTACATTTATTGTTGAGTAGAGTAATTGTGACATCAGAAGAAAACTACCCAATCATGGTTTCTTTCTGCCTTTTCTCTAAATTTCCCTCTCCTCTATGCTAGGCTTTTCTCACTGCCTTTATTTCATCTCTCATCTGTCCAACAGGTTTCTGTATTTTGATCAGTATGCTAACACTATAAAATCTCAATTTATATTTGTAATGAGAATTGTGCCCAGAATCTTAGAAATGCTCATCTGGAATGCCTCTCTTCTCATGAATAACGCTACTCAAGATACTCAACACTTGCTTTTTGGAAAGTAAGCATTGCTGTCTCAATGAGCATATCGTGTAGCCTACGACCATTTCTGTAGTAGTGTTACCTTGTGACATCAATAATGGCTTAATGTCTGTATTTATAAAGGTGGCATCTAGAACAAGGCTTTAAAGGTGGAATTTTTGATATAGCCACTGTTGAGAATATGTGTGTGACAAATATCTAGTCACTAAACCCTTTTTACCACATAATTACTAAAATATTAAGAAATTTTTATATATTGCTTTATTAGTACACATTTCACATTGGTTTTGTTTGTTTTGTTTTAAAAATAGGGCCTAGGTATTTCAGGCTAGCTTGGAATTCATTGCCTAGTCCAGGATGTCTTCAAACTTTTGGAGGTAAATCTCCTTAAACTCTTGAGTTTGGGAATTAGAAGTGTGTGCTACAACATTTAACTCTATCTTACAATTTTCAAAAGATTCGTAATAAACCAGTTGGAGTTACTTGATTTTGGAGTTATAAGGATGTTTCTAAGATGCGAGAAGAGGAAGAAAACAATATTTGTATAAGAGCATTCAACTTGAATTGGAAAACAGTTTATTTTAGAGGCTTACTGAATAATAAATAGATAAAGTAGGTTTGTGAAGAGATTGGTTTTCAATAGAAAATGTTTTTTTGTACACATACTTAGCTTTAAAGGAAAATAAAAGTTAATAAAAGATTAGTAATATTGCTCTTTTACATGTGCCTTGCAACATGCAAATATCTAATTATTAGAAAGCATTACTTAACTTGAGTCTTTTGTGATACTAGTAACAGCGCAGAAATTCTGAATGCTTACAGGTTCCATAGTAATAAAAAGCCAAACACTGTGGTACCAGCCAACCACACTTTTCACAATGGATTTTCACGACTCAGACTGCAGATGCCGCTTGATAGGACACCGGCGTCAGTCGTATTGGAGGTAATACTGCTTTTTCTTAGAACTTGTTATATGAAATAATATACCCAATGTTTACCTTATCGGTCCATCATAGGTCTGGTAATGGCAAGTATCACATCCTCAGAAGTTTGTACAATGTGTGTCACTCCACAACTACTTAACAAATGGGGACTGAACCAATAGTCTAATCTTAATTTTGGAGAATTAATCAATTTGACAGTGACAAATGATACATTAATTTCTCCTACCTGCCAAACTTCAATTCGCTGTCACACTTCAATTCACTGCCACAATTGAGATAGGATGGGAAAAATCAAAAATTTGAAAAAAATTAATTAATGATTAGTTTTCACCTTTTCTCTCACAAATCTTATTGGATTTTTGTGTATTTTTAGATAAAGCCAAAATTAGCAAATTGAGTAAACAATTCCCAAAATGTTTATGTGGAATACAGGTAACATTTCATACTGTTTGTGAGTGGAGGAAATTCTTGTTCCAGCTGTTAGGTACGGGATAGTTATTTTAACCGGTATATTTACCCAGGTGTGGTGGCCTTTAATCCCAGCACTTCAGGAGTCAAAAGCAGTCAGATCTCTGAGTTCAAGGCCAGCCTGGTTGGTAGGGCAAATTTTAGGACAGAGAAACCCTGTCTTGAAAAAGTAGAAAGCAAAAGAAATTCTTTTTTCTGTTTTCTTTTTCTTTTTTTTTCGAGACAGGATTTCTCTGTGTAGCTTTGTAGTCTATCCTGGCACTCGCTCTGTAGATCTCGAACTCAGAGATCTGCCTGCCTCTACCTCCGGAATGCTGGGATTAAAGGCGTGAGCCACCACTACTTGGCTTGCTAAACACCTTGAAGAGAAATGCTTTTTAAGCTTAACATGGCCATTTGGTGGTGGCACACGCCTTTAATCCCAGCACTTGGGAGGCAGAGGTAGATGGGTCTCGGTGAGTTCAAAGCCAGTTTGGTCTACAGAGAGTTCCAGGTCTACAGAGAGCTACATTGAGAGACCCAATCTTGAAAAAAATAACAACAACAACAAAAACAAAACAGCAAAAATAAAAAGTTTAAAGGGACAAGGACAGAAATTACATTTAGAATTTACTGCCAGTAATAGTGTAAGACGCTTGCAATGGTGAATTTTGTTCATTTGCAGCTACAATATTCTAGTGAGCTGAATTAAAACCTCTGCTTACAGAAGCACAGGAATGTGGAGTCCTGTTCAGATAGGCGTGGCGTATGGGTGGGTGGGGGTGGGGGGCGCCCAGGACACACTTTGTCCTAAAAACTGAGTTAGGAAGTCTTCAGTGAGATTTGTAGTGAAAACGCCCTTCTTGGGATGCAGTTGACAAAAGGCTCTGGTTGGTTTCTTTAGTAAATAATGAAGCTCTCCGAAGCAGCCCCACCCACCAAGTCCCCACCCACTGCTGCACCGCCTTTCGCTGCCAGCTGACTGAGCAAGCAGCAGCCTGCTGCCAAGGTGGCTTCCAGTAGCCTTGCAGTTTCGCTTGGTCTCCGAATCTTTGCAAAGTCCCCTGCTCACCCTTGATTTTCAATTGCAGCGCCCAGCCCTGCGGTTGCAGTTCTCAGCGTTCCCGGGCCCAGGACAGCATGGCAAGGCCTAGATATTTCAGGGGTCTGGGGATTTGCATTGCTGCGGCTCTGGCGTCCTTCCTAGCTGGCTTTTCTATGGGTAAGTGTGAAAGCTGGGGTGAGGAGATCTCACTGGAGGGAGGAGAAGCCCAGAGTGGACTGGGGTGTGTTCTGTGGAGTTCTCAAAAGAATACAGCAAAATAGCGAGCTGATAGAGTGCCTTTCTGTAGGAACTCAACTTTATGAAGTTTCCATTGAGTGCAGATCACAGCTGTGGGCTGCTGGGAAGATAACTCAGCTGTTACTATCTATGTGGGACAGAGATGACTATTTCTAAGTAATTATGAATTGAAGCCATTTTTTACATGGGTGATTTGTAGTGCTTCCTGAGTGTCAGGGGCTGTTGATGAACTAGAATTCAAGAAAGTGGTCATGCCTCATATATTCATAGCACAAGAGAAGCAAAAGAACAGTCCTTAAAGTAACCCCGCACTAAGCAACTGAGATTTACATGTGTATGAGAATTTTAAAAGCTTTCTGCACTTAGCACATTTTTATCCCAAAAGCTCACAGTGATCTGTTGTTTAAGTATTTTTTTTAAAACTTTATTTGGGTTCTAATAGAAGCAATCAGTATGCTTGTGCCTATGTGTCTCATATGTTTGTGTATATCTGTATATGTTTGTGTGTACCTGTAATTCCACTTCACCCCCAGGCTGGTTTATTAAGCCTCTCAAAGAAACAACTACTTCAGCTCATTACCATCAAAGTATGCAGTGGAAACTCTTATCTGAAATGAAAGCTGAAAACATTAGATCATTTCTTCGGTAAGCTGGTTTTGCATTTTTATCTTAGTAGTAGTGTTTCTTGCAGGAACAAATGTATTAAAACTTGGACAGCCTTTATTTGTATGTGAAGTTATAAATTGCAGATCAGTTCATTGACTTTTAGAATCTCTAACGCACTCAGGATGAAATCCGTGGCCTTTTCTTACCTGTAACTTCATCCCACAGAAAAGTGTCTGGTTGGTGTATTTAGAGACATTTTATCTTCGTATAATCTTGAACTGCAATGGAATACGATTTATTTGTTTATTTGTTTGTTTTTTTCTGAGACGGGGTGTCCCTATGAAACTAGTCCTAGCTGTCCTGGGACTCACTCTGTAGATTAGACTGGCCTTGAACTCACAGAAATCCACCTGCCTCTTCCTCTGTTAGGATTAAAAGCCTGTGCCACAATGGCCCAGGCTGAATGTGCCTTGTACATGGACTTAATCAACACACTGGATTTAATCAGAAAAATCTTGCCCATCCCCCACCTTCACTGCATTCTGTTAGGAAGAGTTGGGACACTGGCAGCTCAGTGACTTAGAAAGGATGTCAGTGTTTCTAATTGTGGTTGTCATAGATTTTTTCTTATTTTGTTTTGCTCAAACACTGAACAACATGAAAACAATAAGAACAGTGTAAACCTTTCAACTTCTTTTTGAAGGCAGTCACTATATCAGTTATGGTTTACAGGCTCCCTCAAAAAAAAAAATACCATCAATAAGCCGGGCGTTGGTGGAGCACGCCTTTAATCCCAGCACTCGGGAGGCAGAGGCAGGTGGATCTCTGTGAGTTTGAGGCCAGCCTGGTCTACAAAGTGAGTTCTAGGACAGCCTCCAAAGCCACAGAGAAACCCTGTCTCGAAAAACCAAAAAAAAAAAAAATACCATCAATAAATCAGCTTTTTTGAATTATAATTTACATAAACTACACCCCTTCTAAGCCTTCCAATTTCAAAGATTTTGCAGATGTATTACAGTAAACAAGCCACACACGTTCTGTTGGATCCTGAGAATTCTAATTCTCTGGATAAGAAGGAATTCTAGTTCTTAGGCTAAGAAGGAATGTGCGATTAAACACCTAATGACATAGAGAAATATTCCCAGAGCTTGGTACTTGAGTCTTGGTAGTTCAGTGGTAGTCTGCAGATGGGAGAGGAAAGACTCAAGTAGATGGAGAAACAGTTATGTCTGGGAAGAAGGCCTTGTGCTGAGTCTACAAACAATGACAAATTTAAGTGGAAAGAATGCTGTTATGGGGCTGTCTGAGTATCATGTGCAACCGTGCAATAAGATCAGATCAACTATTGAAAATTACTATTTCTCAAAATCAGAAAGTTATAATTTCAGGTTCTAGCACAAGCATTTATTAGCTATAAAAATATGAACTACTTCCTCAGTTACCTTATTTGCAAAATAGGGGAAAGAAGAGTGGTTGTGAGGGTGGAATGAAATGTGAAACTGCTGGTACCAGGGTTTCAATGAAAATTCATCTTCTTGTCCATTTTCTATCATCCTTTAGTTAACTGTAAAACTAATTTACAAAAGTATTTATTATTTCTCTACTGATGTAAGCAGAAAAGAGAGGAAACCTTTGATATTTGCCTAGAGCAAAATAAATTTCACTAGCAACTTTTTGTGGAGTTATTAAAACGTTATAGCTCACTTACATCCATAAATAAGAAAATATCACCCAAGGCAGTTTAACAGATCTGTGCTTCTCATGTCACAGACAAGACATTGGCACTAGAGAATGCAAAAGTCCATGGGCCTCCCAGTCACAAAAAGACAAGCATGGTATGTACTCACTCTTATATGGATTTTAGACATGGATCAGGGGAGTGCCAGCCTACAATCCCATGGCCAGAGAGTCTGGGAAACAGAATCTTTAACCAATGACTGATGGAAGCAGAGGCAGACGCCCACAGCTAAACACTGAACTGAACTTCTGGAACCCAGTGACAGAGAGGGAGGACTGATGAGCAAAGGGGTCAAGACTGGGCTTGTTTAACCCACAGAAACAGCTGACCTGAACAAGGGGGAGCTCTTGGACCCCAGACTGATGGCTGGGAGGCCAACATGGAACTGATCAAGACCCCCTGAATGTGCCTGTCAGTGAGGAGGCCTAGGCAATCTATGGAGCCTTGGGTAGTAGATCAGTATTTATCCCTAGCATACAAATGGACTTTGGGTGCCCATCCCACAATGAGGGATGCTCTCCCGGCCTGGACTCTTGGGGGAGGCCCTAGGCCTTTCCCTGAATCAAATTACAGACTCTGGATATGCCTCATGGAGGGCCTCACCCTCCCTGGGGAATGGAGTGGGCAAGGGGGGGGGACTGGGAGTTTTGGTGGGAGGGCGTGGGAGGAGGGGAGGGAGAGGGAACTGGGATTGACATGTGAAGCAACCTTGTTTCTAATTTAAATTTAAAAAAGTCCATGGGCCTTAATTTTAATGAGATCAATACACTGCTACATACATGTTATAGTTGATAGAGGCATTTAAGCCAAATGCAGAGTACCTGGCTGTCCCCAAGCAAATATTAGGACTTCTACATTTCCTCCATCATTGTTATAGAACTCTGACACTCTTAAAGGTGTCTTCTCACATTTGGTCCTGTGCTGTTGTGTTTACCATGGATTATGTTATTTCTGTTTTTTTGGTTGTGAGCCTAGCCTTTAATGGCTGAGCCATCTCTCCAGCCCGTATTATGTTATTTCTAGAGGGAGAATAACATGGAAATTGCAGTTGTGCTTAATTACTTTAAAGAGTCATGTCAAAAACTTGCTATATACAACTGAGATTTTTTTTCTATATCTGATACGTAATTGATACTTGACTGCCTGAAAGATGAACCATGGAGTATCATTTGGATACACTCTCTTAATTCCCAATTTTATTCCTTTCATTTCAGTTCCTTTACAAAATTTCCACATCTGGCAGGAACAGAACAAAATTTACTGCTTGCCAAGAAAATCCAAACACAGTGGAAGAAATTTGGATTAGATTCAGCCAATTTGGTTCATTATGATGTTCTCTTATCTTACCCAAATGGGACGAATGCAAACTATGTATCAATTGTTGATGAACATGGAGTTGAGGTGATGTAGAATTCTTGGGAGTCTTCATATTTTGAAATCTCTGGTTTGTACTTTGCCTTTGAAATAGGATCTCCCTTTTTAGTTCTTGCTGGCATGGAATCTGCTGTATGAACCAGAAGGTCCTCAAATCTGTGGCAAACCTTTTACCTTTGCTTCCTGAGTTCTGGGATTACAGGTGCACACAGCCTAGGTCATCACTTGCTTCTTGTTCCTTCATTGATTGGAATGTAGAGCCAACTAACAACAGAAATTTGTTAGTAGTGCAGTACCATTTATATAATTCAGAAAAGTTGCTATACTGCAAACTTCAGTGTCTTTTTGTGTTAAGCATAGAACTAATTTCTCTGGCCAGATTGAAGATTAGGACATAGTTCTTTTAATTAGTAAGGTGAGGTAGACGAAGGATACATCATGTAGAATCAGTAATGTAAATGCTAGGAAGGTTCTTTATCTACAAGGAACAGGTCATTTAGTCTAAACAAGGAGATAGAAAGTCTTCCTGGAGGAATTGATATATGAGTCAGAAAGTAGACTAAGAGTTTAACCACATGAAAACTTAATTTGCAAGGTAAGAGAGTTCCAGTCAGAGGAAAACACTAGACATGCATGAATGTATGTCACGGCTCTGTATTTTGGTAGAGTCTAAGGATTTTATGTATGCCAATAGTGTGTGAAAGCAGTGTGGACTCCAGAAAGGGATAAATTAGTAGATGTGCTCCGGAGTTGGGTCATAGCATTATATTACATTTTAAGGAGTCAGATGTCACACTTCAATTATGAGACCTCCTGAAAATAGTAGGTAAGGAAAAGACAGAACTGAAAAGCATGTTAGATAGGATACTTTCACATCACATGTAGACTATGCAGGGAGTGAAAGTTAATAATGTAACATCATACTTCAAGTCAAGGGGGAAGCCTTGAATGAGAGAGACTACTAGCAGAAGTAAAGGCAAAGGCTGAATTTGAGAAGCCGTTTGGGCGTGTGCTAGCAGCATGATTCACTGGTGACTTGAGCAAGGAGGAAGCATGTAAATAAGTAGGGTGACCGTCTACTCCCAACTGCCTGTTGAAGGTGGCTCGCTTAGTGTGGCAGTTCACAGGTGGGAGAGGCAGAGGCATAAGCAGGTTTAGGGATGGTAGAAGATAAAAATGGTGGTGAAGGAAAACTGTTTTGCAGGAGAAACAGAAAAGACAAAAGAGGAAATCACAAAAGGACTACCACTGGGAGTATTTCTTCTGCTTGCTTACTTGTAAGCAGTGCTGGGGATGGAATGCAGCCTGCTACACAAGTGTTCTATCACCGAGCTACACCCCAGCACATGGACGCCACCTTTGCAGCCCTGCTTCTGCACTTAATAAGAGAACATTTAACCACACAGGACTGTTATTTTGAAGACGTTGTAAAACTTACTCATTGTTGTCAGCAGGATTTATCCATTTAATTATAAAACTTTACCTAAGTGTAACTTAGGGGGCAAGGTGGACCATGCCTTAATAGTGATCTGGGATTATTCTCTGTAACTTGACATGTTTGAATTCTTGCTAGATTTTTAAAACATCATACCTTGAACCACCACCAGATGGATATGAGAATGTGACAAACATCGTACCACCATATAATGCATTTTCAGCCAATGGGGTGCCAGAGGTAAAAAAAAGTACATTTTTAAACATGCACATATTTACCCCTTTCCTTGTTATATGAAAGCCTGTGTAGAGAAATTCAACCAATGGGAAGTCACATGCAGACTAAATGACTAAATACTTGTGTATTCATTGTTTGATATCCAGTACTGTGAACACCTTCAGAACTTAAAATGATTTTTTTAATAATAGAAAAGCTCGTAAGGAAGAGAAAAATGAAAGGAAACAAATGCACTAGAAGAAGTCCTACTGAAGCAGATAGCACTCACTCTACCAAGCAGCGCACTCCTGAATGTGCTCTAAACAGGAGCTGCCAGCAGCTCCCACTCTTTACAATGTGAATTGTAAATTATTTTGCCAATCTGTTTTTGTTGTTCATATTATAGATTTTCCTTAAATAATGTTGTGGTTGGAAATAAAAAACACTTTTGTTATTTCAGAAGCTATCTCCAATTGATAGCTACTTGCAAATGAAAAGATAGTTTTCTCCATAGAAGTTTCACTGGGGAAACAAACCTCTCTTAAGGATTAGGCCCCCATGCCTGGCAGTAGACGACCAACACAAATGAATCCAATGACTTCTTTAGGGGTTTTTTGTCTCATAATGTTAAGTCAGGGTTTTTGTTGTTGTTGCTTTTTTTCTGTTTTTGTTTGTTTTCTTTAAACATTACAGGTCCTTTGTGTATATATCATGACTTCTAGTTTGTATGCACTGAATTCCTCTGTGTGTGTGTGTGTGTGTGTGTGTGTGTGTGAATATATGTGTTTCTGTATTTATTTGCATTTATTGTACTTTTCCTTTGGCTCTTGTTCTTTTTTTGGTTGTTTTATCCTATTCTGATATTTTTTTGTTTTTGTTTTTATCTTACTTTATTATTATTCCTTAGATGCCTGCTTGTTTTCTAAGGAGAGACAGGAAGGATGTGGATCAAGAAGGAAGGGGAGATGGGGAAAAACTGGAAAGAGTAGGGGAGGGCAAACAATTACTGGAATATATTCTATTAAAAAAAGTATTTTCAACAAAAGAAAAAAGATTGGAAAAAAAGAGGGAAGCTAAAAGTGAAAGCACAGTTGGGATTACTGAAAGGGCTTGAATCTCTGCTGTTACTTTCTTCTGGAGCACAGCTATTTAAAATACATCTTAGCTCCTTAAGGAAGTTTTTGAAATGTTAAAATGATGGTGTAATGAGTTCCAAATGTTAATCAATCCCAAATAAAGAAAAAAATTGCCAAGACAGTTTTGAAGAACAAATTATTTTAATTTTGTCCTCAGGGCAGTAGCGCATGTATCTTTCCCATTTCCCTGTAGGGAGAGCTTGTATATGTCAACTATGCTCGCACTGAAGACTTCTTCAAACTAGAAAGAGAGATGAGCATCAACTGCACTGGGAAGATTGTTATTGCGAGATATGGGAAGATCTTTCGAGGAAACAAAGTAGGATATTTTTTTTTCTAGAGGAGAGTGGAGAGGTTGAACCCCATAAATATAATTGGTTAGTTATATTCGCTTTGTGAAATTGCTTTTATTTTATTTTATTTTTTTGGTTTTTCTCAGCAGGTATACAAAAAACTTTATTTTACATAACTATTTTTCTAGAATGGAAATTATTTTTGTTATAAAATCAGTGTTTGCTTTCTAAAAACCAATAGGAGGAAATCTGTATCAATTAAAAGGGACATTTCCTCTCTATTACCCAACTTAGTTTTTCTAGACATATTCAATTTTAGTCACCCCTTCCTGATTAAATTCTTTGAATTCTAAATATGAGAATATGTATACTGTATGCAATTACTATGATTAGATTTTTAAAGAGTCCATGATACACTGTGTTCTGTAACGTTGTTCCCACTCAGATATCCATGAGCATAGCCATGGAAACACACTAAAAGTTTTAAAGTATGGTAGCAGGTAACGTCTAGGACGTTGGCTCCACACACCTGGGTCAGACCTAGTCTGGGCACTGAATCTTTAGATCTTTCCCTGTCACATACTCTCTCTGTGTCAGTGTCCTCACAAGTGGAACAGGGGTGCTAATAATTACAACCTCACAGAGTTCTTTGTAGCCTCCTTCCTAATGTGCACTGGAGAACGTCTCAGTAGCAAACTAATACCAGTAATCTATATGACTATTTCTTAGATGCCTTGGTAATTTAAATAGGAATGCAATATTTTTTCAGAATTGATAGTTTATTTAATCATTCTCCTGTTGATAGATGCTTTCCTTAGTTGGACTTCAATATGTTACTACTGTGAAGAATTCCATTGTTAACGTGCCACATATACTTCAAAAATTCGCATCTAATTTTTGCAATAAACATTCATAAAAATAAAGCATATAGATAATGGTACATGCTCATTCACAATTTTGATGAAAGAATCAAATTTCCATTCCAGAAAGTTGAGACATTGGCAAAGCTGAGTCATTCTTAACACTGTGTTATATATGAGTGAGCCAAGAGTGAGAGTTAGCTACTATTTTCTACAACACTTCTGATGATTAGGAACTCAGTCAACTCACAAAATAAAGTGTTCTATTCCTGGGACATCCAGATAATTAGATGCTTACTAAGTTACTTTTGAAAACCATACTGTGACTATTATATGTAGAGGTAAAACCCCAAAAGTGTTTACTCAGTGATGTGCTAGAGTCTGGTGGGTAGTTGGTTAAGAGAATAGCATCACTGGTTGGAGGAGTCACACACCTTTAATCCCAGCAGACTGGTCTATAAAGTGAGTTTCAGGTCAGTCAGGACTGTTTCACAGAGAAACCCTGTCTCAAAAAAAAAAAAAAAACAGTTTAGGAAACTAGTTTGAAAGCAAAGCTACCAAGTATATAACAACACCATCAAAAGCAGTTATTAAACTACTTTTGTAGGAGTAAGCCAGTCATTTGCATTCCTGCATCCTGTTGCACATTGCTCTTAAAGGTTAAAAATGCCATGCTGGCCGGTGCCATGGGAATCATCCTGTACTCTGATCCCGCTGACTACTTTGCCCCCGAGGTACAGCCATATCCCAAAGGATGGAACCTTCCTGGAGCTGCAGCACAGAGAGGAAACGTCTTAAACCTGAATGGGGCAGGTGACCCACTCACTCCAGGCTATCCAGCTAAAGGTAATGGGCCAAATCTGTTAGTCGGTCACTTTGGTACAATACTCCTTGCTGCTCTAGGTGTATAAAAATAAACATTCATTAAAATAAGAATCACAATATATTTAAAATTATGTATGCCTTTATGTCATTTTGGATTCTGACTGCTTGGAAATAAGTAATTTCTCTGTCCTGGGTTTTTTGTTTTTCATGTGAAGCTGAGTATTGTCCTTTCAAGATCTGCAAAGAATTGTGTTGGAATTATGACAAGGATTGCACTGGATCGGCAGATTGCTTTTGATAGGATGGCCATCTTTACCATGGCAATCCTACTGAACCTTAAGCATGATCTTTCCATCTTCTTTATATCTGCAATTTCTTTTTTCAAAGACTTAAAGTGTATCATACAAGTCTTTCATTTGCTGGGTCAGAGGTACTCCAAGATATTTTATTATTTGAGGCTATTGTGAAATGTATTGTTGCCCTGATTTCTTAGTTGGTTTGTCATTTGTGCATACGACATCTACTGATTTTTTTTTTTTGGTGAATCTTGTATCTAGCTACTTTGTTGAAGGTTTTTATCATCTGTAGGAGTTCCCAGGTGGTATTTTTAGGACACACACACACACACACACACACACACACACACAGGCACGCACACGCACACGCACACTATCATATTATCTTCAAATAATGATTCTTTGAGGTCCTCCTTTCCAATTTGCATCCCTTTGATCTTTTTCAGTTGTCTTATTGTTCTAGCCAAAAGAGGACTATAATGAGTAGATATGGAAAGAGTGCATAATCTTATCCGTTAGGAAAAATTTTAGTTGAATTTCTTTGGGAGTCGGGGAGCAGAATGTGGTGGTGGAATGTGGTGGTTTGAACAGGCATGGCCCCATAGACTCATGTGTTTGAATGCTTGGTCCATAAGGAGTGGTACTCCTAGGAGGTGTGGCCCTCTTGGAGTAGGTGTGGCCTTATTGAAGGAAGTGTGTGCTGTCACTGTAGGGGCAAGCTTTGAGGACTCATATACTCAAGCTACACCCAGTATGGTATACACACTCCTTCTGCTGCCTGCTGATCAAGATGTAGAATACCCAGCTCCTTTTATAGCACCCTGTCTGCCTGCATACTGACATATTCCCTGCCATGATGATGATGGGCTAAACCTCTGAAACTGTGTCTTAGTTAAGGTTTTTATTGATGTGAAGAGATACCTTGATCATGGCAATTCTATTTTTGTTTTGTTTTTTTGTTTGTTTTTCGAGACGGGTTTTTTCTATATTGCTTTGGAGCCTTTCCTGGAACTCACTCAATAGACCAGGCTGGTCTTGAACTCACAGAGATCTGCCTGCCTCTGCCTCTGGAGTGCTGGGATTAAAGGTGTGCACCACCAATGCCCGGCTAATCATGGCAACTCTTATAAAAAAAAACAAACATTTTACTGGAGTGGCTCACTTATAGTTTCAGAGAGTCCAATGATTGATTGTTCATTCCTGTTTGTTGTTTGTGGTGGTGATGGTGGTAGTGGTGGAGTGTGTGCACTTTTCTTCTTTTGTTTTTGCTGATATAAGATTACCTCCTGCCGGGCAGTGGTGGCACACGCCTTTAATCCCAGCACTCGGGAGGCAGAGGCAGGCGGATCTCTGTGAGTTCGAGACCAGGCTGGACCAACAGCCTCCAAAACAATACAGAGAAACCCTATCTTGTAAAAACCAAAAAAACACAAAAAAACAAAAAAGACTACCTCCTATTTTTTCATGGGTGTAGTTAGCATGGGTGGTTCAGATTTTTTCTTCTAGCACTTTCTGTAGGGCTGGATCTATAGACAGATATTAAGTTTGGCTATATCATGGAATATCTTGTTTTCTCCATGTATGGTGATTGAAAGTTTTGTTGGGTATAGTAGTTATAGCTAGCATCTGTGTTCTCTTAGAATCTGAAAAGTATGTGTCCAGGCCCTTCTGGCTTTTAGAGTCTCTATTGAGAACTCAGGTGTAATTCTAATAGGTTAGCCCTTATATATTACTAGGTCTTTTTCCCATGTGGCTCTTAATATTCTTTCTTTGTATTGTACATTTAATGTTTTGATTAATATTTGGTGGGCGTCTTTCTTTTCTGGCCCAATCTATTTGGTGTTCTGTAAGCTTCCTGTACCTTTATATGCATGTCCTTCTTGAGGTCGGGAAAATTTTCTTCTATGATTTTGTTGAAGATATTTTTTGGGTTTTTGAGTTGGGAATCTTCTTTTTCTGTTCCTATTATTTTTAGGTTTGGCCTTTTTAGAGTGTCCCAGATTTCTTGGATGATTTGTGTCAGGAAATTTTAGATTTGATATTGTCTTTGACAGATGTATCCATTTTTTATATTATCTTCAATCCTTGATATTCTCTCTTCCATCTCTTATATTTTGTTGGTGAAACTTTCCTCTGTAGTTACTGTTTGAATTCCTAAATCTTTCATTTCTAGAATTCCATCAACCTTTGTTTTCTTTATTGATTCATTATTATTGATTTATTTCTTTATTTCCATTTTCTAATCTTGATCAGTTTTACTTTTTTTTCTTTCAACTGTTTGTGTTTTCCTGGGTTTCTTCAACTGATTTCTTCATTTCCTCAACTGTTTATTTGTTTTCATGGATTTATTAAATCCCACTTTAAGGAACTCTATCATCTTCATGTAGTTGGTTTTAAGGTCTTTTTCTTGTGTTGCAGCTATGTTGGAATATTCAGGGCCTGCTGTGGTGAAATAGCTGGGCTCTAATGAAACCATCTTGTCCTTGCTGCTGTTGATTGTGTTTTTCTGCTGGTATCTAGGCATCTGGGTTTGGGATGATTGTAGCTTTAGGTGCTGATTCCTGGATTTGTCTTTGTTGGATGCGTGCCTTATTCCTTGATTTCTGTTTCATCTCTGAATTTTCACAGAGGGTGTTGACTGAGTGTTGCTTGTCCTGTCCAGCTGATGTGTTCTCGGGGGGATGCCTACTGGTGTTGTAAACTGGGATACTGGGATGAAGTAGAGGAAGGAAGATTGGAGGAGAGGGTCTTGGGGATGGGCTCAGACAGGAAAGGGAGATCATTGCATATTTCCTGCTAGAGAGCTTGGGATGAAACTCCATGGATTAGAATTTAGGAGAAGTAGGAGAGGTGTGAGTCTGCCTCCAGCCTACTTGTCCTGGGAGGAAAGGCCCCTGGGTTAGCAGGGGCTGCCTGCTTTGTTGGGGTCTAGGACAAAGCAACAAGTTGAGAGGGGATGGTACAAGGGGAAAGATCTGTAGGATCCAATGGAGAAGGGATTGGGTGAGGGGGGGGTGGGGGTCATCACCAAGTGTGTTCTGCTGTATAGCTGAGGATGGAGCAGAGAGAGAAGATAAGGGCTGAAGGGAGTCTACAGGTGTGGCCTGTGAGTTAATCTGGGCATGTCTACCTGAGTTGTGGGCTGTTCCCTTGTTCTGCTAGGCTGCTGTGCTCCCAGAGAATGCCTGCTGGTGTTGGAGGCTGGGATACTGGGATTATTATATTGGGAAAGGAGGCTGGGGGTGAAGATCTTTGCGTTCCATTGGCAGTGGAGTCAGAGAGGAAAGGGAGACTGCAGAAGGTTTCCAGTTATGGAGCTGGGGACAATGCTAGCAACTGGGACTAGGACAGATCTCAGGAGCATCAGCGGGTGTGGCTTTGCCTTCAGCCTATTTGTCATCCTGACAGGAGAGGCCATAGGGTTAGCAGGGAGTGCCCACTGGGGTTGGAGTATAAAACAAAGGAACAAATAGGAGGAGGAAGGTTAGAAGGGGGAAGATCTGTGGGATCAATAGGAGATGGGAGGAGAGGTTTCAGATGATGCTGTGCTATAGACCTGGGGAATAAGCCTCGGGGATTCAAACTGGAGGAACAGAGACAGAGAGAAGAGAAGGTCTGCTGGCAGCCTACCTGTTTTTTGTTTGTTTGTTTTTGTTGTTGTTGTTGTTGCTGTTGTTGTTGTGGGTTAGCAGAGAATCACATTGTGTGGTTTTTAGCTACTCAAGAATTTTGGAGATATTTTCTTCAATATTGATTTCCACTATTTCAAACAACATGCTTTGTGTGATTTTTGCATTTAGTGGAACATGTTTTATGGACTACAATATAGTCTATTGAATACATGTTCCCTAACTTCCTGAGAACAAAATAAATTCTGCTGTTTTGAAGTGTACCCAACTGTGATAAATATCTGTGCATTCAAGTTAGTATAGTTGCTGATTGTAAAGCCTTTTTGTTTCAGAAAGCAATGATAAAAATAGGTAATAAGAGAAATGTCATTTTTAAGTTGGTTTAGATATGAGCACGAAGGTTTCAAGGTCAATGTATTTTGTCTGATAGCCAGGTCTAAGGAGACTATCAGTCTGACAGCACTTCCCAATCTTCCTTTGAAGAAAAATTTGTCTTATTATTTGGATAAATGTAATTATTTCTCTAGATCTCATAAGTTTCCTATTTATTCCTCATTATATGTAACTTTAGAATATATAGACACGTTTTACAAGCATACAGTTTACTGGGGTTTCTATAATAGTAACTCGTGTGTTTTGAGCAAATAAAATATTAAAAGTTTAAGGAAATCATTTTGAGTGTTTAGTTTGAAAATTTATAATTTCTATGAGTTCATTTTACCTTAAAATATAACTGACTTATTTTTTTGCTGCTGACTCAAATAGGTCAGTTTAAGTAAAACAGTCTGACTTTTTGGTAACCTTTCATTTTAATTGTAAAATATAACAAATCTGCAATAATATTACAAGAAATTCCTACATACTTTGTCCTTGCTTGTAGTCTTCAATGATTTTCACTTACATACTTGATTCTTGCAGAATACACCTTCAGACTTCGTGTTGAAGAAGGAATAGGGATCCCGAACATACCTGTACACCCAATTGGATATAATGATGCAGAGATACTATTGCGGTATAGTCATTTAGTAGGATATGAGTGCCCTATGATATCCATTTTCTGCTCTATAAATCAATTATATTAAAAGTAACATGTATCAAAATAAGTTCTAAAGTAGGAACACTATTTTTACATGAACAATAAGATTAACTACTGAGAAATAATAATTAAATATTTTTCTGCTCAAATGAAATTCTCAAATATGAAATTCTGTCCAAAGATTAAAATTTAGCACTGATTTGAAAAAAATAATAACCCTTAGTTTTCCTTAGGTATTTATTAGCTATTTGTCTAGGTCATAAATATACAATCATACTAGCCAGTTACTGCCTCATTTTCTGATTTAGTTTCCTCACCTGTAAAATGAGAACAGTGCTGTTTCTTCTTGAGCCAAAGCCAAGAGCAGTGTCTACAGTACAGTGAACACTGAATTGATATTTGTTGGTAATGTTTTTCTGTATTTTATTGCCTATTTCCCAATTTCCATTTCCTAAATGTCTGCACCAGAGTAACTTAATTACTTTTTTGTTTGTACCACCTATGGAGCCAGTAGTTTCTTTAAAAATTAGGTGCTCCTAAAGAGTCATGAATGTTCCCTCTTCTGGATATCCTCAATTCCCTGCTTCTCCAACTGAATCAAGTGTGAGGAGGCTGCTGCTACCCATCAGTCCTCTGGATTTTATTGTCTTGCCTTCATCTTTATAGCTAACTTATTGCGTGTCTAGGCTATGACTCTTCAGAATGAAAGCTCCATGAGGCTAGGCCGTTTTGTAAATAGCTCCTACATATGCAGCGTCACACTCAATCTCACGACTTCCTCCAGATCAATGTTTTTGTCGTTTCACTTATTCTTGACAGAAACTTGGGAGGAACTGCTTCACCAGATGAAAGCTGGAAGGGAGCCCTAAATGTTAGTTACCATATCGGGCCTGGCTTTACAGGAAGTGACCAGTCCAGGTAATTTTTTTGAACCTTTAATAGCCTAGAAAAGTTTTTGTTTTAAGAGAAAAATGCCAAGATAATGCTCTACCAGGTAAAGTATGCTTTTCTCCTTGTCACCAGTGAGCAAGGACTTACAGAATTGAATATTGAATTATTCAGTGGCAACATTATACTATTAGCTGTAATATTACTATGTTTACATTTAGACTTATAACATTTCAAGCAGTGTTGTCTTTTTTTTTTTTTTAGCTTCCATTTTCAGCTCAAGTTTTAAATCAGTTTTCCTAGTGACTTTTATGGCGGGTCAGTTGAGAGAAGGTAAAGGGGCAAAGTGAAAGGAGCTGTCAGTTATGTAACCTTTACTACATGGCGTAAATGAGTCAAAGTTGCACGACAATTCTCAATGGATGTATCATTATCATTAGCGCTCTCTCTCTCTCTCTCTCTCTCTCTCTCTCTCTCTCTCTCTCTCTCTCTCTCTCTCTCTCTCGTTTGTGGATGTAGTCCCAGCTGTCTTGGAACTCTCTTTGTAGATCAGTCTGTCCTCAAACTCAGAGATCTACCTGCCTCTGCCTCCCAAGTGCTAGGATCACAGACACATGCCACCACTACCACTAGCATTGTTTTTAACACAAGAATGTTACATAGTGATCATATGAGCCTCTTGGGATGAGAAAAAGCACAGACAGTGTAGATGTTGAGACAGGCCATGGGAAGAAGCTTAAAACACTTGAAAGACTGGGGAAGGGGAATGTTAGTGCTCATAAATCAGAAAGGATATAGTTAGCTGTTTATTATATTCTCACATGGCTCAGTCATGCTTGCTAATAATTTACCTATTATGCAAACTGCAATACTCAGAATATGATTTTATTGTTAGAATTGGCTTGTTTCAGAAAAATTAAAGTGAAAGAAGTTCAGTTTTCTCCTTGTTACGGGAATTTTAGAATCTTAAGAGGAAGAATCTTGAATCTTAAATGAGTATGTACTAGATATGACTCTACTGTGAACAATTTATGTTTCTGTCATGCTTCTACATGTTCATACGGTCTGTCTCTACAGAGATGTTTAAACAAGTCTAGTTATAAAAGGGAATTTAAAAAAAGACAAAGGTGACAGTGTTGAATGAACTAGAGTGCTTTCCAGCTTTTCCCTATAGAAGAATGTGAGTTCATTTGGCAAATGCTTGATAAACATTAACTGTACACAAAGTACCACTCTGAGTCCTGGGGATTCATCCTGGATCAAATAAACAAAAATAACCACTCTATTCTGCCTAGATCCTAAACTCTGCTTTATTTAGAATACAGCGTGTTTGAAGTGATGAGAGGAATAGGAGGTAATTGCTGCAAATAATTCAGAAAATCAAAGGAAGGAACAAGTTGGAAGGTAGAAAGGGTGACGCGTGAATGCAAAAGAAGCTTGTGAGACTCTGGGCACCTGCTCTGTGTCTAATGCTTAGACTTCCAGACTCTTCTCTACTTTTTATTCATTTATTGCATGAATATTTACTTAAAAAAACAGCTCTCACTGTGTAGCTGAACTGGCCTCATACTCGTGGGATTGTCTCTTGCATCAGGCTCCAGAGTGCTGCTGTTAGAGGCAAGAGCCACCACACTAAACCTGACTTAGCTTCCTTAATTTAGTGATGTGGTGATATAATACCAATGACTTTGGGTTTCTTTTTAATCATAGACTTTAAGCTCTTAATTGCGGGAAGATGCTGGAAATATTTCTGCATTGTAGCAGTGGGTGTTTCAGTGCTAAAACTGAACCTGGGGTTTTGCTTTTGCCAACTGCTGGCTCTCCCATTAAGTCATTTCCCCCAGCTCCTTTTTGATTTTACTTCACAGCAGCAAAAGTGATTTTTTTTTTACCTAATGCATTAAAAAAAAGCTTCACCTGTTGATTGGTTTTGCTCTTGATGAAACTTTTGGCTGAATTATGTATTAATTATTATTAGGATTAATTATATATTTAGAAAGATTTTAGGAGAGTGGCAGAATCTGCATGCACTTCACGTTGTACAAGCTTTGGTAGGCGATTCCTTCCTTCCATCAACTAATCATGGATAACAAATTATAAATTTTTTTGTTTTTTGAGACAGGGTTTCTCTGTGTAGCTTTGGAGCCTGTCCTGGAAATTGCGGGTTTTTTTTTTTTTGTTTTTTGTTTTTTGTTTTTACGAGACAGGGTTTCTCTGTATTGTTTTCGAGGCTGTCGGTCCAGCCCGGCCTCGAACTCACTGAGATCCGCCTGACTCTGCCTCCCGAGTGCTGGGATTAAAGGCGTGCGCCACCACCGCCCAGCCTGGAAATTGCTTTTAAGTCTGTTCCAACAAGTAAGCTAGGACACCTGGGTAGGGGTATGAGGATTAAGAAAAACAAAGAAGACAGGATCGAGTCAGGAGGACTGCCAGTCAATGCTGAAGGGCCTCAGTTTATTTTCGAATCTGTTTATATAGAGACTGGGCAAAGAGTAGATAGAATAAAGAGCAGCATAGTCAGTTAACAAGTCCCCAGATCTATACTTGGATCAGGGAACAGGCAGGCACTCTGTCTATCATTTGAGCCCTGCTAGCAGCAAGCACCTTCATTCCCTATCTCAGTGTTCCTTTGGCTGGCATTCAACACCCTGCATCTTAGTAAGATACTGTGTTCTTTCCCACGGGCTTAATCAGAACATTCTCACAACTCTCAGGGGGACTGAAACAAGCGAGCTTGAACTCAAATGACTTATAAGCCATTTGTGGTCTTCCACAGCTTTGTAGACCAGGCTGGCCTCCAACTCATAGGGATCGACCTGCCTCTGCCTCTGCCTCCCTAGTGCTAGTGCTGGGATTAAAGGCATGTGCCACCTCCGCCCAGCTAGATTTTTCTATATCTGGAATAAACAAAGGCTAGTTTTCTGTCCCTGTGAAAAAGTAGCTCAGTACTTATGGTGTCATTCTGGATTTCTATACAGTGCCTTTGGGATGGAGGAAGTCTGGCTGAGTTTGAACGAATTTACCTTTGCTTTTAAATTAGTTAAAATCATGAATGACTATTAAAGTCCAACCCAAATCACAATAAAAATGGATGGCCCAAGGAAGTTTCAGTATATAGCTGAGCACTTAACACAACTTCCCAAATACTTATTTAACAATTGAACTTATCACATTCTTCAGTCAGTGCTCAGGTCAATTTTAAGTAACATATTTACAGACCACATTCACAGTCATGATGGAAGTTAATGAACAGCAAGTATTTTTGTAATCATGTGTCACTTCACAGGGAGATGTATTTTGAGAAACATTTCATTGTTGGAACATCAGAGTGTACTTACACATATCTAAATGCTTTGATCAGTCACAGAATGTGGCTTCTTGATGCCAATCAGAGATTCTGTAAACAAGAAAAATGAAGCTTCTGTTAGCCTGACATGGCAGTCTGTCTTAGAGGAAACTCTTTTAGTAAGTAGAACACTTTCAAGGAGCAATGAAGCATACTATGTATTGTGCATAACTGCATTGCTCTACATCTGTGATTGGCAATATAATGTCTGTTTATCTTAGTGCCACCACAAATACATAAGTAATACATTGCACTATGACATCATAGGCTGTGCAGTGTTAATAGATTGTTTTCATTCTTGTGTAATTTTAGGGATATTATCACATGTGTGATTTCTTACTGTGCTGTGCAGGGATTTATGCTCCAACAATGAGCTTGTCTTTTTAGTTACCATAACAAATAGTTGCTCCTATTTAGTAAAGTATTAAAATTAATGTTTTAAGGCATTTAATAAAATTTTTTAGTTAAAATAAGAATAAGTAATACAGCTATGAAGAAAAATATAAAATATTGCTATTTAAAGTTGACTTTAAGGTACATGTCTAAATACACAGGAATATATTGTAATGGTATTTTGTAAGTGCATCAAATAACCCAGTTATTGAGGTGGTAAAGATAGGAGAATTCACTGTCCTGTTGTATAGTTTTCTGAAGTTTTTTTAAATGTCAAATGAAACTAAATACAATGCTTCATTGAATTAACTTATTCTTTTCAAAATTCCAGAAAAGTTAGAATGCATGTAAACAACATTAACAAAGTCACAAGAATTTACAATGTAATTGGAACTATCAAAGGGTCTTTGGAACCTGGTGAGTCACTAAAAATTTAAAGGCATTTCCTTTTAACAAAGATTAAGAGAAGACTAAACTCTGTCAATAAAGTATTTTTCTGGATGATTTGAAACTTAAATTCAGGGGAAGGCTGTTTCCACTCTAAAAGATTTCACTTTAAACTGTTGGTTGTCTTGTGTGGAGGAAATTCAGGCAGGAGAAAGTTTAATTGAAATACGTGAGTGACAAATGCATGTATTTGTATGTGACTTGAAGCTCTTTTGAACAAATTCTTGTCCAGATAGGTATGTCATTCTGGGAGGTCATCGTGACTCCTGGGTGTTTGGAGGGATTGACCCTACTACTGGGACTGCAGTTTTGCAAGAGATTGCCCAAAGCTTTGGAAAACTGGTGAATCGAGGTAACTAGTATTTCTCTGGTAGTTGTTGACCAAAAGTGACTTGCTTAATATTCCTGCACCTGCAGGTGGGAGTATTTAACCATGCACGCTTACATGATTGCAGGCTGGAGACCCAGGAGAACTATCATTTTTGCCAGCTGGGATGCAGAAGAGTTTGGGCTGCTGGGCTCAACTGAATGGGCTGAAGTAAGTACAGTGAAAGTACTCATAATATTGTATAGATTCTCTTACTCAGGAAAATTTAAGACATAGAATTTGTTTCTACTTCCCCATCTGTTTGGCAAAGCAGTCTCTTCTTAGTCTAAAACTTTTATCAAAACATTTCAGTGTTCTTCTGTATTTATGTTATAAAACCAAAATCAGTAAACTCAGAAAAGAATCAGAATCTGCAAGCTATTAATTTCCTTACATTTCACAAGTTATATGCTTTGATTGTTAAACATAAAATGATAATTCTGTAAATCTAATCAACTTAATAAAGTAGCTTAACTTACCATTTCAGTACTGGTTTTGTTGTTGTTGTTATTTTTTTCTCTCTTGAAGGCTCATAACTCTTAAAGAGCCTCTCGTATGCACCTTCTTCCTTCTTTCCCACTCTCCTCTGTTGATAAAGTCAAAAATTCTTACATGTGTAAAGTGAGCACACTTTTTATTTCTTTTGCTTTGTTTTTTTTTCTTGAGACAGGGTTTCTCTGTGTAGCTTTGAAGCCTGTCCTGCAACTCACTCTGTAGTCTAGGCTGGCCTTGAACTCACACAGATCCACCTGCCTCTGTAGATCCACCCTGTAGTCTAGGGTGGTCTTGAACTCACACAGATCCACCTGCCTCTGTAGATCCACCCTGTAGTCTAGGGTGGTCTTGAACTCACACAGATCCACCTACCTCTGTAGATCCACCCTATAGTCTAGGCTGGCCTTGAACTCACACAGATCCACCCGAGTGCTGGGATTACAGGTGAACACCACTACTGCCTGGCTAGTCAGCATACATTGTCATAAAGTTCGATGTGCATTGTGGTGCTTGCTTTCTCTCCTCCAGCTGTTTGATACATATAAGTATACATTTTGTTGGCGTGTTCCAAAGCAAGGTATGCATGTCTGTATTCTTTAAAAACTGCCTTCCTCCTGACTTATTTCCTCTTATGTTACTATAAAATAAGAAGAAGCAAAAATCACATAAAGTTACTTATCTGATATCACTTATCTTTGTTGGTTACATTTATATTGTAAAGTTTCATTTTGATACTGGTACTGTAAATACAAAATTTTAAAGTAGAACATTAATTTAGATTGATTGAGTATTATTGGTGAAGGTAACTTAATTTTAGAATGTGTGACTTGGTTTTTTATTTTATTAATTTATCTTTTACATTCCAGTGACTTTTTATAATGCATGTATACATCAATATATTTGTTCCTCCAATTTCAGAAATTCAAAATAAAAATCAAATTTGAAACAAATGCAACACATCTTTGTATAATTAAACACACATTCTTACATCGTTAAACAATTGTAGCATAAACAAATGTAGCATACCTTTACACAGTTAAAGTAATATTCTGCAGCGTAAACAAATGTAACACATCTTTTGCCTAGTTAAGATAATATTCCACAACAATTTTCTACAATAGCACATTTAACTTCTATGAGAGCATATAAAGTTATGTTATGGTGATGCACACCTTAATTCCCCCACTCAGGTGGCAAAGGCAGGAAGAAGTATTTGAGGCCAGCTAAGTCTATGTAGAGTTCTAGGCCAGCCAGGGGTACACATTGAGACCTTGCAAATGCTGTAATAGAGATTTTGACTATAACCAAGGCAATCATATTAGTTACTTTCCTGGTTATTGGAACAAAATGCCTGAGAATAGCAACTCAAGGTAGGAAGGGTCTATTCTCCTCACAGTTCAAAGGTACATACAAGCCATCGTGGAGGGAGGTAGTGATGATACATCTGTGAAGCTACTGATCACATTATATTCACAGTCAGGAAGCTGAATGAGACGGATGCTATTGCTTGCCAAGAACCCTAGCACATAGAATAGGCTTCTTACTCTTTATTTTATTCTTTCACTTCTCTATAGGTATTTATAAACATAGATAAATGGATTTTTATGTTTTTCATTCTCATACTAAGGAATGCACTTAGTGGACCTCAAACTTCAGTGCTTGTAAGGATCAGTCTCTAGGGCTACCTGTTAGAAAACAGTTTCAGGCCTCACTTTGAACAGTCTAGATTCAAAAGATTTTAGGCAGGACTACCAAATTTTGGAGCCCTCACGTCAGCAAATTCTGCTACAGAGAATGGAGGAATCACACTTGAAATTTTTTTTGTGGGCTTCTTGTTTTTAGTGCACAGCTTCGCAACATTCTCATTTTCTTAATTTTATTGCAGTCATCAATTAAGCAGTTATCAGAATATTCTTTAAATTTGTGATCACAAGCAGATACTGTATTTGACTTTTTTTAATTTAAGTTAGAAACAAGCTTCCTTCACATGTCAGTCCCAGCTCCCTCTCCCTCCCCTCCTTCCCTGCCACACCCACTAAGCCCCCCAATTCCCTACCCAATCTCCACTCCCATCCCCAGGGAGGGTGAGGCCCTCCACGGAGGATCTCCAGAGTCTGTCATTTCATCCAGGGCAGGGTCTAGGCCCTCCCCCAAGAGTCCAGGCTGAGCGAGCATCCCTCATTGTGGGATGGGCACCCAAAGTTCATTTGTATGCTATGTATTTGACTTATAAACACTAGCAGACGATTTTTACAGGAGATTATTTTGGTTACTTTGTTTATATTTTCAAAGTGGTAAATGCTGTGAGTTAACAACTTTGCTTCAACTGCAGGAGAATGCAAAGATCCTACAGGAAAGAAGCATTGCTTACATCAACTCAGATTCATCTATAGAAGGTGCTTCTTATTTTAATTTGAAATACAATGGTTGAAGAGTAAATTCTATTTTTAGTAATTTCATTTCTAGTGAGTATGCTATCCTTTGCTTATTTGGTCTTTTTTTTTTCTATCTTGAGGTAACAGTCTCATGAATGGCCTCAAATGTGTTGGTGGCCATGACCTTGAACTCCTTATTTTCCTACTTCTATCTGCTAAGCACTAGGATATGAAGAGTATGCCATAGTGCTGACAATTTCTTTTGGTTTATTATTTTCATAAGTCTATAAATTCTAACTTACTAGTATCTCAAATCTTATGTTTAGATAAGACTATTCAGTAGTAACTTAGTTTTTAGTTTTACCGCAGGAGAAATAATTCATATCAATCATTATGACTTACAACTGAGCTATGGCTCCTGATTTTTTCTCTATATTTGGTTTATATTTGTTTGCTTTGGATTGTGACTCAAAGCCCTAATATTCACCAGCCTTTTCCGGTGGATGAGTCAGAGAAATTTGGCTGGAGTATTTTAGAAGAAATATTTTGCAGAATATCTCATATAGAAATATTTTTTAAAACATTTTCTTATGCCAGGCGTTGGTGGTGCACGCATTTAATCCCAGGACTAGGGAGGTAGAGGCAGGCAGATCTCTATGAGTTCAAGGACAGCCTGGTCTACAAAGCAAGTTCCAGGACAGCCTCCAAAACAATACAGAGAAACCCTGTCTCAAAAAAAAAAAAAAAACCAAAAACATTTTCTTGTAAAATGTTTCCCCACTTTACTGGAATTGCTTTTTGAATTGACACATTGCATTTATCTCTTGATGTTTTTGGTGCATTTTTGTTTATTGTCCCTCCAACTGTTACATCACTCATACATTGATGTCTAATACATTGATCTAAATTACTGAATCCAATGAAAGAATGGAGAAAGAGTTTGTAGTCTTAATGCTTTCTTTGAAAAGATGGTCTACTGATAGAAGCTGCCACATCAGCCACCAGAATCCACCATTGCTTTGCCAGTTTAAACAATACATCACGGCCTCTCTAACTTCTCAGGAGCATTGTGAATTGAAGACTGTTGTATTATATTTGAAATAGAAAGTTTCAGTTAAATATAAATGGATTCAATATAAATATAAATATAAATTTGGTAGTGTGAAATAAGACTTTTGTGTTTGGTTTACTCTTCAGGCAACTACACTCTACGAGTTGACTGTACTCCTCTTCTTTACCAGTTGGTGTATAAAGTGGCAAGAGAGGTAAATGTGGACACCTGGCTTAGTATTTAATGATGAATGGATAACACATTTCTGGTCTAATGAGCTATGTTTATTTTTAAATTGATATCAGAACATTTGTGATTCAAATAAGCAGCAATTAAAACAAAATTTGTAATACACAGTTTACTATGTGACGTAATTTTGAGGATGCTAAGAAATAAGGTATTAAAAATAAGCCAAGGAAGTCAGACACCTGACAATGCATAAATCATTGGTCTTTCTCACTAGACAGTTCACTGTACGTCACCATGATGAGTAGAATGGACAGTAGTCAAATGGCAAAAGGGGAGGAAGTCTGCAACTGGGGACTATACAGAAACACTATAAACATTAAACTACTTATATTAAATACTCTTGAGAACTAAAGCACAAAGAATCTCAAAGTAAAATCAGATAGTGTACTCCCAATATCTGTACACTTAGTTTAAGTAGTCTTCCAGTATAGAATTTACTTTTAGAGGTGCTGAAGAGGCAGATCAGTGGTTAAGAGCACTAGCTGATCTTCCAGAGAACCTGAGTTTGGTACCACACACCCACATCAGATGTCTTACAACTGCCTGTAATTTCAGCTCAAGGGATCTGACACCCTTTTATACTTCCTCGGGCGCCTGAACACACATGGTGCATGGGAATACACACACACACACACACACACACACACACACACACACAAACCACCAAAAAAATCACATCAATAAAAATAAAATGAATCTTTTTTTTACATGTTTGCCTCTTTTTATTTAAATTAGAAACAAGCTTGTTTTACAAGTCAATCCCAGTTCCCTCTCCCACCCCCTCCTCCCCTGCCCCACACCGACTCCTTATCCCATCCCCTTTCTGCTCCCCAGGGAAGGTGAGGTCTTCCATGGGGGATCTTCAAAAGTCTGTCATATCATTTGGAGCAGGACCTAGACCCTCCCATGTGTGTCTAGGCTGAGAGAGTATCCCTCTATGTGGAGTGGGCTCCCAGAGTCCATTCTTGTACTAGGGATAAATACTGATCTACTACCAGAGGCCCCATAGATTAACCAGACCTCCAAACTGACATTCTCATTCAGGGGGTCTGGAACAGTCTTGTGCTGGTTTCCCAGCTATCATTCTGGAATCCATAAGCTCCCCCTTGTTCAGATCAACTGTTTCTGTGGGTTTCTCCAGTCTAGTCTTGACCCCTTTGCTCATCACTCGTCCCTCTCTGCAGCTGAATTCCAGAGTTCAGCTCAGCGTTTAGCTATGAGTGTTTGCTACTGCTTCCATCAGCTACTGGATGAAGGCTCTAGGATGCCATATAAGGTAGTCATCAATCTCATTGTCAGAGAAGGGCATTTAAGGTAACCTCTTCACTATTGCTTAGATTTGTTAGTTGGGATCAACCTTATAGATCTCTGGATGTTTCCCTAGTGCCAGATTTCTGTTTAAACTTGTAATCATTCCCTCTATTATGGTATGTCTTTTCTCGCTCCCCTCTATTCTACCCCTGACTCAATCTTTCTACTCTCTCATGGCCTCTTCTCCCTTCCTCTTCTCCTCTTCTCTTTCTCCTAACTCCCTCTCCCCTCTCCCCATGTTCCCAATTTGCTCAGGAGATCCTGTCCCTATTCCCTTCTTTGCGGGAGCATATATGTCTCTCTTAGGATCCTCCTTGTTTCCTAGCTTCTCTGGCAGTGTGGATGCCTACAGACAGTATTGTGGAGACATTTTTCTTAGTTGGGGTTCTCTCTTCTCAGATGACTCTAGTTTGTGTCATTTTGACATAAAATTAGCCGGCACAGATACCTTCTTTTTATAACCAGCTCTTATATTCATTCTTTGATATGTTCCACAATGTTCCCTGAGTCCTGGAGTGTGGGTATAAATATCCTGTTTAGGGATCAGCACTCAACAGTCATATATCCTCATACATTTGAGCAGCTATGAATCTTTGTATTCACTGTCATTTCCTACAGAGAGAAGCTTCTGTGACCAAGGTTTACAGAAGCATTTGTCCATGGGCGCAAACATAAACATGAATATTTAGAAAGTAGTTTGGCACTGTGTCAAGTTAACAAAAGAAATCACGGGTTTTGGACAATACTTTTACTAGTCATGTATATTCCAGACTGTGGAGTAGTCCTCAAATTCAATCATAGAACTGTTAGTTAACCCCATAACAGTCATACCACTATTGCACTATTGTGTAAATCTTGTCCAGTGGGTTAATGCTGAACCGTTCAGAGTTAACAGCTACATAAGGATATGGATGACTTTCCTTCTCTAGCACTGTACACAGCACTTTCTAACACTATGCACACTAAACATCAAGGAGGATGCTTCCAGTTCAGGTCTAGATTGATTTCTTTATGTCCTGGTACCAATATGTGTAATGGTGTCAGCAACAGGGCCTTCCCATTTATTTCTGGTAGGCAGCCATGTTGGTTTGAATGAGAAATGTTCCTCATAGTTTCTGACATTTAATACTTGTTCCCCAGTTGGTGGCACTGTTTGGGGGCTTAGGGAGTATGGCTTTTCTGAAGAAGCATGTTACTGTTAGCATTCAGGCATTTATGCTTGCCTGCATACTGGCCAGTGCATGTCCTTATAGAATATGTCATCAGCTGCTACTGCTATGTAGAGGTCTCACTGTGCGCATGTGCAATATCCCCTTATAAAAGCCTCCCCCCTCCCCTGTCTCTCTTCTGGTGCTCTCTCCCTTAGAGGCCTATTCTGTACCTCCCCTGCCAATAAACCTCCCATGTGAGTTCTGTTTTATAGTGTGAATTTCCCTCCTGATGCCACTAAACAACAACAGTTACTGGCAGTGGTTTTAGAGAAATTAAGGCCTTGCCTACTCCTAGTTTCTCTGTTCAAGATGTGAGCCCCCAGCTTCTACCCCAGCTGCCATGCTTTCCCATCATAATCATCTTTTAACCTTCTGGAACTGTAGAAATCTTTCTTCTATCAGTTGGCTTGATCATGATACTTTATCACCTCAATAGAAAAGTGACTAATACAGCAAATAAGAATGTAATGAATAGTGTGTATTGTTTGGGGGGGTCTTGGGCTTTCCTGGCCAAAAACCCATATAAAGGTATCCTACTCTTGGCACTGGGATTTTTTTTAACTGAAATTTATTTTTCATGGAATATGTTCTGATCATAGTTTTCTCTTTCCAAACTACTCCCAGATCCTTCCCACCCCAACTCTAAGACTTTGTTCTCTCTTTCTTTCTAGAAAACAAATAAGCAAGCAAACAATACGCAAAACAAAACATAATACAACACTAGCAACAAACAAAAAACACAAGAAGCATGCACACACAAAACAAAACCCATAAAAACAAAATCACAAAAAAAATATGTACAAGCAAAAGACCAATAAGACAAAAAAAAAAAGAATGTCCAAACAAATCAATATGAGGGGGGAAAATCTACAAAAATACTCCTGAATTCATTTTATGTTGGCCGTTTCTTGCTAGGCACGTGGTCTGACCTTAAATGTGTTTAATATACATTCTGAGACACCAGTGGCAAAAACAGATTTTTCCTTTGTAAATTGATATGGACTAGAGACAGCTTCTTAGTTAGGGCTGGAAGCTTCTGTCAACTTCCCCAACTCAGCTCTCCAATTGTTGTTTGATCGTCCATAGTTTGTGGGGTTGGCATTATTAACTTGTTTAAATAAGGTGTCTCCATCCAAACTCTCTCAACGTTTATTTTTTATTTTATGTGTGTGGGAGTGTTTTGTCTATGTGTCTGTATGCCCACCATGTGCATGCAGTGCCCACAGACACCAGCTGAGGGTATCAAATCCCCTGGAATTGGAGTTATAGAAGGTTGTCTCCTCCAGGTAGGTTTTTGGAACTGAACCTGGGTCCTCTGCAAGAAAAGCAAGTGCTTGTTAACCACTGAGTCGTTCCTCAGCCCATATTCTTAAAAAAGGTGTGTGTGCATATGTATGTGTGTGTGTGTGTGTGTGTGTGTGTGTAAGAGAGAGAGAGAGAGAGAGAGAGAGAGAGAGAGAGAGAGAGAGAGAGAGAGAGAGAGAGAGGGAGAGAGAGAATTTGTAGGAGTCAGTTCTCTCCTACTATGTGGGTTCTGGGGAGTGTATTCAACTTACAAGTGTCAGGGCAAGTGCCTTTAGCTGTTCAGACATCTCCCCACCCATAAACTCTTTTCATTAAAAGTTTTCAATTAGCTAAAGAACTACAGGTTTGCACATGGCTTCTTACATCATTACTAATCCTCCTCACACTTCTCATTTAAATTTTACCTTCCTAGTATATCCCCTTTCGCGTTCATATCACATGGTTTCTACTATCCACCCATCTTTAGGACTATTCCCTAACCCCCACTTTCCTTTTATAATGTTCTTATCTCTACATACATTCCAAGTTAAATACAATGTTAAATTAAAAGGCATGATGCATATATAATAAAAATATTGTATTTGGCTTTCTGGGCCTCAGTTACTTCTAGTAATTGTTACTCCCAATTCTACCCATCTTTCTATGAATTTCATGTTCCTTTGGTGCTAAATAGAATTACATTGTGGAAATGTGCCACATTTTCATTACTTATTATTCATTTGATGGCCATATAGTTTGATTCCATTTCCTAGCTATTGTGAAGAGGACAGCAATGAACACAAATGTGCAAGGGTCTCTATATTGATAGCTTTTTGACAGCGCCACACTGATTTCCATAATGATTGTATTAGTGTATAATGGTTCCCATTTCCTCACATGAAAATCCAGCCTGTCTTATATGTTACTTTAGAATATAAATAACTTTACTCACTACCACTGACTTCTTTCCCAGCAAAAGTAGGATCCATCTGCTTGGATAAAGGCAATTTATATTAAAGAAAATATATCTACATTTTCTCCAGTATCTTTACCTGAAATAATTTAAAACTTTAATTTAAAATGTTATCAGTAGCTGGGTATTGGTGGCACATGCCTTTAATCCCAGCACTCGGGAGGTAGAGTCAGAGGCAGGCTGATCTCTGTGAGTTCAAAACCAGCCTGGTCTACAAGAGTTAGTTCTAGGACAGCTTCCAAAGCCACAGAGAAACCCTGTCTCAAGGACCGGCAGCCTCGAAAACAATACAGAGAAACCCTGTCTCGTAAAATCGTAAAAAACAAAACAAAAAACAAAAAACAAAAAACAAAAAAACAACAACAACAACAAAATAAGTTTAAAAATATACTATTTTTAGGTAACTTGAACATAGCATACGCATGCACATACAGATATCATTGGAAATTGATACTACTGTGCAGATGGGATTACACTGGTTATACATTCACTTCAGTTGCTGATGTTCACTGTTTGTTTTTCTAGATCTCCAGCCCTGATGATGGTTTTGAAAGTAAATCACTTTATGAAAGCTGGCTGGCAAAAGACCCTTCACCTGAAAATAAAGACTATCCTCGGTAAATTATTGTATACATTTTTTCTACCCTGGGATAAATATGGATTTCCCCCTTTTCCTTGCTTCTTCATGCAATTCTCTAATAGCTGATTTACTAGAAGTTCAGTTCCCAGAATTCATGGCATGCGACTCATAGCCACTTATAAACAACTCCAATACTCTCTTCTGGATTCTGTGGGTACCCAAATACCTCTGTGTGTGTGTGTGTGTGTGTGTGTGTGTGTGTGTGTGTGTGTGTGTGTGTGTGTGTGTGTGCGTGTGTGTGTGTGTGTGTATCTGTTTATATCATGGGAGATTTTTTTTATTCTGTCAACTATTATGGCTAGTTTTATTGGATAGATCAGTCTAGATTGGCTATTGTGGTCTGTTAGGACTTAAAATACATTACTCCAAGCTATTCCAGCTTTAAAATTTTCCACTGAGAAATTAGCTGATGGATTTTCCTTTTCCTTTATGTGTGACTTGTGGTTTTCCTCTTATAGCTTTTAATAATCTTTCTTTGTTAAGTATGTTTAGTTTTTTACTATAATTTATCATGGGAATTTTCTTTTCTGATCTTGTCAATATTTGGCATTTGGTTGCTTCATAGTTTGAGAAGCTTTCTTCTATAGTTTTGATGAAGATCTGGTCTATGTACCTAACTTGAACTGGGATTGTCCTGCCTCATCTATTCCTGTAATTTGAAGGGTTAGCTTTTGTTTTTATAGTATTTCACATTTCTTGTATGCTCCTTTAAAAGATAGTTACATGTAAATTCTCTATTTTATCTTTGAGTTCTGATCTTCTATTTTCTACTTGAGTAAAGTCTCCTTGTAAAGCTTTCCTTTGAGTTTTCTAGTTAGGGCTATTGTGGTTTTTTTTTTTCAATGCCATCTTCATTTCAGCTTGAGTCCTCTTGAATGTTTCTCTTTATTGAATTCTGTTTTCAAATCATAGATGGTCTTCATCATTTCTAGCAACCTTACATGTGTGTTTTCTGGGGCATCACTCAGATACTTATCCTCTTAAAGTTCATTGAGATGCTTCTTTTTGTCTTCTTTAAACCTTTTGAAATTTTGATGATGGTTATAATTTTTCTTTTAAATTGCATTCTGGTGTTCATCTAGGTAATTATCATTGGCAGACATTTATCTAGAACTGATGAATTATTTTGTGTGCGGGGTTTACTGCCTTGCTATTGCATAATTTTATTTGTATTTTTTGTGATGAGATCTGGGCATATAGGCTTAGTTTTGTTGGGCTATACCCTGGAGAAGGATGATATTTATGTTGACATGTGTGTGTGCGTGTGTGTGGGGGGGGTCCTCATTCATATGCCCTCCTTTTTTCATGTGGGTCCCAAGATCAAACTCAGTTTGTCAAGCTTGTTGGCAAGAGTCATTATCTACTAAGCCATCTTGCTGGCCCCCAAATTAATCTTGCAAAACTTTAAATGTGTTTTTCCATTATAAATTTTCATATGCTTATTCAGCAAATAACAGGCTCTTGGTATAAGCAGCCTGAGGTGGCCTATGAAAATGGCTCACTAAGTGGTTCAAATACTTCTTTTCATTAAAAAACATTAGGTTGAAGTGTTCTGTAGTACTGACAAACTGGGGTCATATTCAATGTAGATTGTCACATTAATATTCTAAAAATAATAGAATAGACTGAAGATTGTTTAGCTGTTTTTATTCCTATAACAATTTGGTATGCAAATTCTTAGCTACTCTTGGAACAGGATCCATTTTCCCATCTCGTTAACTTCATACTATTTATTATGTTATGCGTGTTTATATTTATTTATTAATATTTTATATCTAGAATCAATAAACTGGGATCTGGAAGTGATTTTGAGGCTTATTTTCAAAGGCTTGGAATTGCTTCAGGCAGAACTCGCTACACTAAGAACAAGGTAAGCCATTTAGTGATTTTTCATGTGCAGTATATTGGTTCACTCTTCATTACTGTAACAAGATACACAGGTTATTTGGATTCATGATTTCAAAGGTCTCGGGCTGTAATACTTGTCCCAGTTCTTGTGGGGTTGTGGTAAGTCAGCACATCATTGTGGGAGGCTGTGGTGAGGAAAACTGTTTACTTTAGGGCAGCCAAAAAGCAGAGAGAGATGAGAAGGCTTATGTTACCCTTTTCTCTTCAAGGGAATTTCCCAATACTTCTTTCTGGGGGTATTTGCTTTTGGTTATGAAATAGTGTGTTTCATTGTGGCATTTTCATATATGTATACAATGAACTTTAATGATGCTTTTCTTCCCCTTGTACTTTCTCCACCCTCTCATACTTCCTCCTATAGTTTTTGTCCTTTTTCAAATAGTCCTCCATCTACTCTCATGTCTTCTGTTTAAATTTAGATATGTAGATTCTGTAAACAGAGAAAACATACCACATTTATTATTCTCTGTATGACTTACTTTGCTTAATATGATGAACTCAAGCTCCATCCATTTTCCTGTAACATTTCCTAAAATTGTTCTACTGCCTTTAAGAGCACCACACTGGGAATATAAGCTTGATCTTACCAGTCTTTGTATACATCCTTGGACGGGGGTTATTCCAGGTCCAAACCATAACAATGTTTCATTAATATGAACTATAATTGAATTGTATGGCATCAGGCAGTAGGTTGGCCTGAGACCCTAGAATAATTCAGGGATGCAGACAGACTGCTTCTTTGTAGATACACTATGACAGGATGGGGCTGTTCTGTGAATGCATTACTACCAAGGTGTTTCATTGAAATGGTAGTTCATGTAGAAATGCTGGATGCATAGTTTGTCAACTGCATCCTTTTCTCAAAACAGAATTTGTTGGAAAAATCTAATTTTGTTCTGGGGATGTAGCTCAGTTGATAGAGTGCTTGCCTAGGATGCATAAAGTCTGGGTTCCTTTTCCTAAAATGGCATGTGGTAGTACATCCCTATAAACCCAGTACTCGGAGTGAAACTAGGGGGAACACAAATGCAAGGTCTTCCTTGAGAGTTCAAGATCAGTCTGGGTTAGACTCTCACTGAAATGAAATAAAACACAAGTAAATAAATAAAACTATATTTTGTAGTCTGGTTGTGTAGACTCTGTATGTGATTTTTTCTTAGAGGAAACGTTTTTGTCGCAGGGCATGCTGGGCTAGGGTTGTGTGGCATCAGTTATCCTCCCACATATTCCTATTTCTGTCAGTCATGAGGCAAGGTCTCTGGGTAGAAAATGGAGCAAGTTTCTCTCGCTTTTTCATTTATTGTCCATTCAGCTTTTTGTTAGACCAATCTGGTGCCTTAGGCAGGCAAGGTGACAAGTGCAACTCATCTTTACATAGTTAAACAAATGCAGCATAAACAAATGCAATACATCTTTACATAGTTAAATATTCTGCAGCAGTTCTACTTTTGTGATCCAAATAAGTAAGTTCATGTGGTATTTGTCTTGATAATATTCATTTTCACTCACATAGTGGCAAATTAACAAGTTTCCCATTTCCTATTCTGTGCTGGCTAGTTTTTATCATGTTATTCAACCATTCTGATGACTTGCACGTACTTATACACAATGAGTATGTGCTGTGTTACCTTGAGCATGTCTTAGGTTATTTGATATGCCAAATATTAGTAGACTTGTCTTCTTTGCATCTTTTAATCAATTTCAAACCCAAAATACAATACAACAATATCTTGCTTGAACATAATGCATTTTGGTTGCCAATTTGACTATCCTGAAAACAGCCAATGATAAAGAAGCAAAGGTAGCTCCAGAATATTGTAAATTAAATGAATGAGTATTGTATACTGTATATCAGTATTCATTTTTATTACAGCTGACCATCAAACAACACGGGTTTAAATGGTATGGGTCCATTTAGATGTAAATATCTTTGAGATTTTTCTACAATTTGAAAAAGATTACAAAGTACATACTCTAGAAATATCAAAAAAACTTTAAAAGCTAGATATCTCCTACATAAAATATATGCAGATGAGTCTGTTTTAACCTTTTATTGCTATGAAATGTATAAAAATAATGCCAAAAATAAATTTAAATGTGTCTGTTATGTATAGAATTATACATGGTACCATTTACAATACAATGAAATACAAGTAAATGTAAATATATTACATTAAGTTATAGCTATGTAAAATTGACTATAGAGCACAACAGACTACGAAAATAATTCTACAACTCTGCCCTGAGGTGGTGTGGTGTGATTGTTTTGAGTATATATTTAAAATGTCATGTGACACTAAACATCTGTGCTTGAGTTCTTTACCTCTCCGGTAAATTACATACTGTAGTAAAAAATAATCTTTTATGGGTCTCACGTATTTTCACTGTATAGAATACACAGAGCATACAAATATGTGTGTTGTTTATATTGTTATAGCTTAGTTGATATATGTACGTTCAATGATATTGAAATTAAATTGGTTCTTCCTAACTTCACGGATCAGCTGCACATGAAAAGTGTCACTCAGCTCTTTATCACTCTGTTTATTTATTACACTCTGTCACCAGTTTAAAAAAAAGTTGTCTAATATTCAAGAACACAGTACATTAGAAACACACGACTAGAAGAAGGGAGACTGAGGCTGGATTGCTTTTAGTGATCCAGAGTAGTAAGCATGATAGTCCTATGAGAAGATAGCAGATGGCAAAAACAAAATTAGGGTATACAGACCAAAGATCTCAAACTGTTTCTACATGGTAGTAGCATGTGGCAAATTGTTCATTACAGATACTGACAAAATATTATGAAGGGTTAATAGCCCTTGGTTGAACAATGCTTGGTTAGAGACACTAACTGTAGACACTAAACTACCCAGAACTTTTCATACACAATCCATAATTTTGAATTGTGCTGATTTGAATACATATTTCTTTAGCTATCAGAACCAAAAGGTTGAACAGAGTTTACATGGATCATAAAATGAAGACAGGAATATAAAAATTTAAATCCTTGAGCATTTTGGCAATAGGGTTTTGTCTTGTTTTTTGGTTTTTATTTCTGAGACAGGGTTTCTCTGTGACTTTGGAGGCTATCCTGGAAATTGCTCTTGTAGACCCGGCTGGTCTCAAACTCACAGAGATCCATCTTCCTCTGCCCAGCATGGCTGTAGGGTTTTAATTGTATTTTAAATTTATTTGCTTACTTGATGAAATAAGGGCTGTCATGTATTTCCTTTAATCATTTCTATGATTGAAATATTATAAATTGAACATGTAATGCTTATTTTTCAACTCCTTTTCCATTTTAGAAAACAGATAAATACAGTAGCTATCCTGTATACCATACCATCTATGAGACATTTGAATTAGTAGAGAACTTTTATGACCCCACATTTAAAAAACAGCTTTCTGTGGCTCAGTTACGAGGAGCATTGGTGTATGAGCTTGCAGACTCTGTTATCATTCCTTTCAACATTCAAGACTATGCAAAAGCCTTGAAAACGTATGCAGCAAGTATCTTCAATTTATCTAAGAAACATGAACAGCAACTGAGAAACCATGGAGTGTCATTTGGTAAGATATTTTATAGACTTTAATGTAAACTTTCTTTCTCCTGGTCAGTGCATTCTAGAATAAATCCCCACTCGTTTATTAATTCTTCCTGATAAAGACATTAAATCAATACTGACTTAGGGGTCTTATTTAGTCTGAAATGTCTATGATCAATCTATTACTTATGAAACAGTGCCACAAACCTCATAATCTTTTCCCCTGTTAAAACTTACCAATATTCCCAAAATATTAAAAATTATAGTCACAAATTCTAATACATATTATCATTGATGAATATATTCATCAGTATTTGTGTACATGAAGGATATTTTGCATGTAGTCAGTCTTTCCTTTTATGACTGCATCTCCATACCATGGTGTCTTCTATAAAATAGGGGGAAACACAGCATAATGCTGTAAAATTAAACACTGGATCTGGGAGCAGTTGGCCCAACTCATATATTCTCTCTTCCACTCAGTGTCTGTGACCTTTAGAACACTCTTTAGCTTTTGCATTGCCAATTTCTTAAGCCATGAACGAGTAAACCACACTTCCCTATTGGGGAGATTATTAGGGAACACATAGAACAGTAGTGATTGATACTTTCCTAACTTCCAGAGATATATTCTTAGTATATACCAAAGTAATCAAATTTGTATTGAATGTCTACTGTGTACCAAGTATATTATTAATAAGTGATATTCATTAATGTTTTCAAAGAGCTTGAAACTTAATGTGAAAAAGAAGAATACAAATACAGATGACAAGTTATTAGAGGGGCAAAAAGAATAACTAAGAACAGAGAACAGGGCTGGCGTTGGTCATTATTCACATTTGAATGTTATTTTGATTATTACATAAGGATATGTAATCTTTGTGAAGTTATGGAGAATAGTAGGTATATTATTTTAAATTAAAAATTGCATTTATAGAGTATGTGGGGGGTAGATGTTGTGTGCTTCCATGTAAATGTGGAGGTCAGAGTATATAGTTTGTGAGAGTTGGTTCTCTCCTTCTACTATGTGACTCTCAGACATTGAGTCAAGCATGGCAGCAAGTGCCTTTGCCCACTGACCCATCTTGCCAGCCCACACATAGGTGTTTCAATCCAGACACAAAACGGAAAAAAAACGAAGAGCCAGGTAGGTGTGCTGGTCTATACCCATAACCCCAGCATTTAGAAGGTTGAAGCAGGAGGATCACAAGTTTTAGGCCACCCTAGGCTACATAGCAAGACTGACTGAAAAAAAATAAAAAAATAAAAGAAGGAAAGAAGAAAGTACCTCTGCATGATGAAGGGAATGAAGAGATGAAACTGGAGAAGACAAGACCCTATTCAAGACAGATGCTAACAAGTGTGCAGCTATGCAGCACGTGGGGCGTTCTTAAATATCTTGAATGCCTTTTGGTGAAATGTCTCTTCTACATTTGTTTAGGTTGAGATACAGTCAGGAGAGAAGTTACATAAGCTTCATGGCAGGGCCTCCTTTAGACAAATTAATTTCTCCCTCTGCTTACTGCTCATGAGCCAGTCTTGTCTGTTAATGCCATTTTCTGCTGTTTTTGACATCTGTGTGTCTACTGGTGAATGCCCATCAGATGGCATATTCTCATATCTCTTCCATCTCAACAGTAGTATTTGTCTCTGCTGTGTTCCACCTTCTCCACAACCAGAGTTCCTGTTAGTGCCATGAAGTAATGGTTATTCAGAAGATGTGTTAACCAGGAATGTGGGTGTGATGTGTGAATGGATCAGCGAATGAATCAACTAGTGATATAATACATAGTCTATACTCTCAGTTCTTTATCATCCACTAAACAATTCACTGTGCTCCAGTATCACTACTACTGACTGGAAATGTTCTTTCTGATGTCATCACTGACTAGTGTCAATGAATCCTAGTGACATATTTTAGTTGTTATCTTGATTTCTATATTATACTTGAAATTTAAATTTCCTTCTTCAACGTACTCTTCCCTTGGCTTCCATCATACCTGTTATTAGATTACTTACTTTGAACATGTTTTCAACAAAGCTTGGAAAAGTTGATGTCTAAAAGGACTTTTGAAAATACTAAATGTATTTATACTGAAGGTCCCACCTCCTTGACAGTTGATGCAGTAGAGTCATGTGATATGAGCTACAGACACAAATGAAAGCAGTAAGTCAAGCATGTGTGTCAAGTCCTGCTTAGTTCACACAAACCATGGGAAATAGGTTCTTGTAACAAACAATATGTGCTGAGAATTTAGTTATATTTTTAAATACATGACATAAAGAAAAGTATGACCAGACCAAACCTGATACTGATTATGTATCTCAGTGTAGATATATCAATTTGTCAAAAGTCACCCTTTGAAAAAGATGTTAATATGCCATTATTTAAGAACAGAATTGGTATTGTTTTAATCCTGTAATAATTGAAGAGATAACATTTATACAATATCTAGTATCTAATATAGCATAATTGTTCAATAAATATATTTAATGAATGAATGCTGGGGTTTGGGTACATAATTGATTGAGGAATTATTTATTCCCTGTACTTGTTAAAGATAATCCTCTCAAGAACCAATTTAGCAGAGTGCTGGAGAGATGATTTAGTGGCTAAAAGCACTGGTCTGTCATGAGAACATGAGTTCAGATCTCAAGACTCATGTCATATGGGTCATAAATCCCTGTAATGTGTGGATATTAAATACCTGTAATTCCAGCTCCAAGAGATCTTACCCCCTCTTCTGACCTCCATCGACACCAGGAAACATGTACACACACACACACACACACACACACACACACACACACACTCTCACACACACACACACGGACATGGATACACACACAGACACTTACAAAACACAATTTGGCTACATTTCAAATTTCAATCTTTTTTCCCCAGTACTTTTCATGAATCCACAAGAAGGGCCCCTAGAATAGTGGTTTTCCTACTTGTTTGGTCCTATTCGGGAGAGGACAGTAATGTGAACTTCTGAAATGTGAACCACTAACTAAATTATTTTTTCTTCTATTTTTTAAAAAGATTCCTTATTTTCTGCTGTGACAAACTTTTCAGAGGCTGCTTCAGACTTTCATAGAAGACTCACACAAGTTGATCTTACTAAGTAAGTTTCAGGTGTCTACTCTCAGAAGGGTAGACTGTCTTCCCCCAACCATGTGTAGAATGCTAAGTCATTATTTCTTAAGCCATGGTCTGCATGACAGCAGCATCAGCAACAATTGCCAGCTTCTTAGAAAGCAGGAAGACACACTTAGAGTTGTCTTTTCTCTAATACATCGTTTCCAACTACTCCCTTAACTCCTCTGTTGTCTCCTTCCCTCCTTCATTCTCAAGTTCATGGCTTCTTCTATAGTAACCAGGGCTCTCAGAGTTCCATTTTTAATGACACTGTAGATGATTTACACTAACATTAAATTAATAATTTATATGATGAGAGTTACAGTTGGTAATTTATAACTCTATAAACTTGGGTGCTTTTGAATATATTTCTGTAGAGTCCTTCTCAATACTCCTATTCACCCAACTACCACTTTTTGTTTGTATTCAAGACAGGGTTTCTCTGTGGCTTTGGAGGCTATCCTGGAACTAGCTCTTTTAGACCAGGCTGGTCTCGAACTCACAGAGATCCACCTGCCTTTGCCTGCTGAGTGCTGGGATTAAAGGCATGCACCACCAATGCCCGGCCACCACTTTTTTTGTATAGATTTTTTTCTGCAATTTTTTTATGTTATTGTCACTTTTAGGTATCAAATAGTTTTTAAATTCTATTAAAGCATTATACAAAAATATGAATTGTACCAAAGAATAATTTTTCCAGACTTGATCAGCAGGCTGTGTCAGTCATTTTGAGGAGGCTCTCTTGTCCCTTGGATTGTGGGAGAGCCCAAAGATATATGTAGTTCAGCTGCATAAAAAGTGGTTTAAGGATTGTGAATGGGAAAGGACCTCCCTTGCTTACCATGGGAAGGTGCCCCTGTTTTTCTCACAGGCTTCAGAAACCTTTACTCTTTGCTGTTGCTTATCTTTATTCTGTTTCTTTCTTCCAGAGTGGGGCTGTGTGTCATAACTTGGCAGTTTATTCCATCTTTCAGGGAGGCCTGGTTATCCTACAGAGAAGTAAAGACTATCTTTCACTTCTTTTTGACTACTCTGTGACCTTGTAAAACAAAACAAACCACTTCTGAGTAGCCTTCTATGTCTATTATAAATGCTAGTAAGCCGGGCGGTGGTGGCACATGCCTTTAATCCCAGCACTCGGGAGGCAGAGGCAAGCGGATCTCTGTGGGTTCGAGGCTGGGCTGGACCGATAGCCTCCAAAACAATGCAGAGAAACCCTGTCTCAAAAAACAAACAAACAAACAAACAAAAAATAAATGCTAGTAAGATGACCCACTTGATGCAGCTGCTTGCTGCGTAACATTTTACTGTGTTAACAGTATTTCTGTTAATGGTCTATTGATTATTTTATTTCCCACGCATCATCTGTATTTAATATTGTTACCTACTAGTAGAGATTTTAATGATGTGTTTCTTATCCTCCAAGTCCTATTGCAGTGAGAATTATGAATGACCAACTGATGCTTTTGGAAAGAGCATTCATAGATCCTCTTGGTTTACCTGGGAGGCAGTTCTACAGGTAAGTCAAGATGGGTGTTCCACAGAGGGCACCAAACACGTCGCTAAACTCAAAGAAGTATGTCAAAGGTTGTTTAAACTAATGCCATCACAGGAGTGGAAGATGACAACATACTAAATATACTAAAGGTAATATAATTGCTAAATGTAACATGGGTAAGATTATGTGTCCAGTAATGGTATAATGTGTAATATCAGAGAAATACATTTAATACCAATTAATACTTTATGGTGTGCCAAACTGAGAAACACAATATTCCAGCCAGAGTTAGAAAGGGATCTTAGAGCACATGCAGTCAAAGTCTAATGACTCCTTCCTGCACGCTCTCGGGTAAGTATTCAGTCTGTTTCAGACTCAGTGATGGAGAACTTACTGCTCCATGAACAAGTCATTCTATTTTATTTAAAGGTGTAATTATTAGAAAGTTTCCTTTGTGATGGGGGAAGGCCTTCTGTGTATATCTTGATAAATAAAGCACAGTTGGCCAATAGAGATAAAAGATAAGTGGGACTAGGAGTCACAGAGGATTCTGGGAAATACAGTCAAGAGTAAAGAGTCATCACCACATAATCGCTTGGAGAGGACACATGAGGCTAAGTACTCAATAAGATAAGACCTTATAAAAATATATATTAGTAATTATAGATTAATAATTAAGCCAGAACTAGCCAATAAAAAGCAAAACAAGCTACAAATAGCTTCATAATTAATAGAGTGTCTCCTGTATTATTTGGGGGCTGAGAAAGCTACAGGACCCAGGTGGCTGGCAGGAAGACTACACGTTACACTTTTATAATTATCTCAAATCTTTAATCCTGTAATGTTCTCATCTGACCTGATCTTTCTTTCCAAGTAAAATAAGGTTAGCTTACTACATTTGTTAAATTTAGTTTCATTCCACATAATAATATAAGTTGTTAACATAGCTGCCATTTCCACTGAAAGAATTATTGTTGTGTCTCAGGTTATTTTCTTGTTTAGCATCTATGTCATATTTTCTTTTAGTATCTTAGAACTATCTGCCCCCAAAGTCCATTTTCTCAAGGTCCTTTAAAAAAGGCTTCCTTGCAGATGGCTTAGTGATTAAGGGCACTTGTTGCTCTTGAAGAGGGTTCAGGTTTGATTCTCAGCACTTACATATTGGCTCACAGCCATCTGTAACCTCAGGGACCGGCCAGTCTCTTCTGAACCCTGCAGACAGCAGGCATGAGTGTGGCTCACATACACACACCTAGGCAAAGTATTTATGTACATAACAATGCAAATAAATCTAAAAACTATTTTAAATGGTTCTTTGATGGAAATTAAGATGAACCTAGCATTAAAAGTCAGAAAACTCTTCATTCATGTTCATGCAGATGTAGGACTGAGTGCATTTCAGTGCTCTGTGATGTTAGCATGTCACTAGATTTGGCTGTCTGAATTAGCATAATAAATGCTACTTTACAAAGCTATCACCTTTCTAAATGTTAGTGATTAGGACTAACATGAACAGAACTTCTAGAGCACAGATCTTCCACTGGGAAATTATTTCTCTAAGCCTTGGCTTTCTCAGCTACAAATGGAGATTTTAGCTGCTTACCACTGAGGCCTGTAGGTTTAAGGCATCTGAAGATTAAGCTTAAAGAGGAAGGTACTCTGGAATTGAGCTATATTTATAATTTATTCATAGAAACAAATTGGAGATATCAGTTATGGATATATGTGATATGTGTGTGTGTGTGTATAACAAGCAAGAAATATCGACAATTCTAGTTTTTCTTGAAAGTTATTAGTCTATTGATCCTTTAGAACTACTTTTTATAATGAAAACATCTGTGCTTTTTTAAATGTTCTCATAGGCGTGTAGTCTAGAGACAGTTCTATTTCATCAGTCCCCTCCTCAATTGCACATCTAGATCTGCTAATCTTCTCAGGGAAACTCAACATTGTGTGAAGTGTTAACACACTTGTGTAATGTGTATGTATGTATGCATGTATGTATGCATAAATGTCGACTTTATATTCATGTTTACATGTATACACACATATTTATGACAGTCTGCTTACAATATTCATGTACTATTTATATATATATATGTGTGTGTGTGTGTGTCCTTAGATACAGAAACATTTATATTTATATAAATGGAGCCATATGTTATTTTGCAAGTTTTTTTCAAGAATCTATCTGTTGACATCAGCATAGAAGATTTTAGCACTTTAGTCTCCTGTATAGTATGTCATTGTTTGGTTTTAATTTATAGTTTTAATGACTTATTGTTGAGATTTGTTAGATGAGCTTCTCTCGTCCTTTATGAGATATGCTTCCTTAAGATGCCCTTGTGCTGTATTTGAACATTATAAATAGTAATATCTAAATAGTAATAATCAGGCCCTGGGATTTAGGGCAAAAAAAAGACAACACATTTTAAAACTTGATGAAAATATAGCAAAATGTCCTACAGACCCATTATCTTTTAAAAATACATTTGAACTATTAATTGAATATTTAGACATTTGAATACTAAAAGTAATTCATATTGCTTTTTCAGTCTGCTGCAGTGTTCTAGAATAATTTTACTGTATTATTGTAGAGATTTTTTAGAATGACCGTATGACATATTGCAGACATATACTTTGCCCAACAACTTCTTAGATAAATGTATCTATGACATCTGCAATTTTTCATTTGTTTTAAAAATAGACTTTTTTGTTTAGGCATATCATCTTTGCTCCAAGTAGCCACAACAAATATGCTGGAGAATCTTTCCCTGGGATTTATGATGCCATGTTTGACATTGAAAATAGAGCAGACCCTCACTTGGCCTGGGCAGAAGTGAAGAAGCATATTTCTATTGCAGCTTTCATGATTCAAGCAGCCGCAGGGACACTGAGAGATGTGTTATGAAGTTTCATCACTGACAGTGCTGCAGAGTGTTAGAGCATGAAACTGCTGGAGGGAGGTCTCGCCCAAATACACTCAAATAGACTCACCGCTGAAGGTACTGCTGAAAGTCTAAAGACAAGATACATCTTTTTCTCTGATGATTCACAAAGCCAGGATCATCCAAAACCAGGTTTCATGTCCCGTTTCGTACTTCCACCTGATTTACCTGTATGCTTTGTGGTTTTTTTTTTAACTCTTGCATGAATATTCAGTGAAAGTGAAACTGGAAGCAACCCACATGTTCATGGGCAGATAATCGAATTCACTGTGGTGCACACACGGTGCGATACTGCTGAAAATAAAAGAACTGCTAACCAACCAGCATTATTGGCAGAGCCTGCTGAGTAATAAGTTGGGCATTAATGAGTCCATACAGTCCAACTAATTGACAGTACTATCTATCTTTTTTAAGGGGAAGGATTCTGGGATCAATGTTATTTTCCATACCTCCAGCTCAGCGTTAGTTACAAAGCTGTATTCATTTACCAAATCTCATCAAGCTGTTGCTTAAATGTCTATATTTTGTTGAAAATGATGCTGAAATATATTTGATAATGAAGGGGAAGTCCTACAAAAAAATAGAAATCGGGGAAACAAGCAGAAATGGCACACCATCCCTTGTAAGAGATCAAGGAAAACAAAGTACCAATGGTGCTTTGGTAACTTCAGCTCTGCTGAATAAACACGTACGTCTAACAAATGAGGAAATAGTCACCCCAGCTCTCCATCTAATTTCTTTAAGTTCAACAGCATTACAAGGCTTTAGGCAGAACCTTGGGATTGCAGGTAAACACCTTTGAAGTTTCATTCAGTAAAAAGGAGGCAAACTTGGCTCAATGTTAGGACTTTTGCCTTATTTGTTCAAGAACCAAGTTTTTCCCTCAGTACTACACACACATACATGAATACGTACATATATATACAGGCACACGTGCACTCACACATCAAGTAAGTTTGGTTGTTTAGCTACTTCATCAAGTTGAAATAAAAAATTAGAACAGTCTCCTCCCATAGCCTCAGGGAGCATCAAGGGAGAGTGTGTGTGCATAGAACACACAAGCCGGAAGATGGGAAGGAATGCTATGAAATGATCTTCTGGACATTACTGTTGCACACATGAATGCACAGCTGTGGGTTATCTACACAAGATCAAGCACAGGAGTTCATAACTGTTAGGGGAGGGACTCATGAGGTCCATTCTGTAAAGGAAGAGCTATTGGCAGTTAATGACTAGGAGAGGGGAAGCCAGTTTTTCAGGCTATAGCCACTGGTAAGTTGCCCATGGTCTAGTCATTGGACCCACAACCGCTTGCATGAACACAAACCTAATTAAATTCAGTGTATTAAAAAAAATGACGTGAAAGTAGTAGAAGGTGTTGGGAAGTTAGGTTCTGGAGGGAATGGGAGAATGATAAGGGAATTGGTGGGGAATACGTTCAAAATATTTTATGTACATGCATGAAATTATCAAGGAATAAAAATATTTTCAAATATTGCCGGGTGGTGGTGGCGCACACCTTTAATCCCAGCACTCGGGAGGCAGAGGCAGGCGGATCTCTGTGAGTTCGAGGCTGTGCTGGACTGACAGCCTCCAAAACAACACAGAGAAACCTTGTCTCGTAAAAACCAAAAAAAAATATTTTCAAATATTAACCTTATATAAGCACACTGGCTAAAATAATAAGCAACAGTTCAGCTTGATCAGAAGGAAAGATGATCTTCGCTCTTGGCCAACAAGACAGTCTAATGAGTGGATGTTAGACAAACACAACCCTTGCGGAGCCAGCCCCTCATGTCACAGTCTGGTTGAAGTCCTGAAGAATTATTTTCAACAACACACTTAAAATTTGCTGTGAAGTTTTCCTGCATGGATATTTTTATACAGATATTTTAATTAAGCATGTTACAATGGTAATGAGCCATGTATAAATTTAGGCTAATAAATGACTTTTGAGTTTAAATTTATTTCTTTCCCACTTATAAGCCTACAATATTCCAAGGAGTGCACAAGACTATAAGAAAGTGTTTACAGTGAAAACATATTTAAACTTTATTGTGATTCCCAAAATCCTGGTGACCTGTGATTTTGCTATATCAGCCTATAATCTTTCCAGTGTACCCTTAGGACCCACCCAGTACTAGCTACAGAAATTGAAAGCAAAACAAAAGCACAAATTTCTTCGCTACTCTGTACGATGTAACCAGATGCCACCAAAATATTATGTGACTACTTGCTTAGATGCTTAACACTACTTAGCCCCATGGAAGCCTCACTCATGCTTGGGTGTGTTCCATCCTTTCCTCCAGGATGTCTAGAATTTGCAGTTCAAGACGGACACTAAAGCAGACTGTCCTTGCGGGTAAGAGATTTGCTAACAGAATTATTAGTGCCAAGCAAGAGACATGAGGTTGGGGATTCTGACAAGAGTTTAGGCCTACAAGACATAGCAGGGCTCTTCTGTGCCTTGTAGCTGATAAGAGCCCATAAGTTCTGATTTTCTAGTGGGAAAGGAAAGGGGAAGGGTATTAATTTTTATACTTAAAGGGAGGCAGGTGTCACTAGTAGCTTGATAAGCTTTCTTTGGAGAAGAGAGAATTAGTCATAGAAGTCAATTCCTAGTCTGCTTATGTAGGCATATTGGGAAACTCCCTAGGTGTGACGGCTATAAACTTCTGTCAGTTCCCTGTAGCAGTAAAGCTGTTAGCTCTGAGGGCACAAAGACACCTGCAGATGGGTATGACCTCAGCAGCGTCTAGTTTGGGGTCTTATACCTATTAACACTTAGGCTTAAATCTGTGTTAAGATCTCACCTTACAGCTTGGTATTGGCACAAAAATAGAAAGATAGACCAATGGAATCGAATTGAAAACCTGGATATTAACCCACACACCTATGAACACTTGATTTTTGACAAAGAAGCTAAAATTATACAACGGAAAAAAGAAAGCATCTTCAACAAATGGTCTGGCATAACTGGATGCTGGCATGTAGAAGAATGTGGATAGATCCATGTCTATCACCATGCACAAAACTTAAGTCCAAATGGATCAAAGACCTCAACATAAATCCAGCCACACTGAACCTCTTAGTAAAGAAAGTGGGAAGCCGGGCGTTGGTGGCGCACGCCTTTAATCCCAGCACTTGGGAGGCAGAGGCAGGCGGATCTCTGTGAGTTCGAGGCCAGCCTGGTCTACAAAGTGAGTTCCAGGACAGCCTCCAAAGCCACAGAGAAACCCTGTCTCGAAAAACCAAAAAAAAAAAAAAAAAAAAAAAAAAAAAAGTGGGAGGTACCCTTGAATGAATTGGTACAGCAGACCGTTTCCTGAACATAACACCAGTAGCACAGACAGTGAGATTGACAATTAATAAATAGAACCTCCTGAAACTAAGAAGCTTCTATAAGGTAAAGGACACAGTCAACAAGTCAAAAAGGCAGTCCACAGAATGGGAAAAGATATTCACTAACCCTACATCTGACAGAGGGCTGATCTCCAAAATTTACAAAGAACTCAAGAAGCAAGTCTCCAAAACACCAAAGGATCCAATTAAAAAGTGGGCTGCAGAACTAAATAGAGAATTCTCAATAGAGGAGTCTAAAATGGTTGAGAGGCACTTGAGAAAGTGCTCAACATCCTTAGCCATCCGGGAAATGCAAATCAAAAAAACTCTGAGATACCATCTTACTCCTGTCAGAATGGCTAAAATCAAAAACACCAATGACAATTTATGCTGGAGAGGATATAGGGAGAGGGGAACACTCCTCCACTGCTGGTAGGAGTGCCAACTTGTGCAGCCACTTTGGAAATCAGTATGGAGATTCCTCAGGACAATGGGAATAAACCTACCACAAGATCCAGCAATTTCACTCTTAGGCATATACCGTAAAGATGCACATTCAAACAACAAGGATGACTGTTCCACTAAGTTCATAATGGCATTATTTGTAATAGCCATATATGTATTTTAGATATGGGGCAGGGGATTGCCAGCCTACAATCCCACTGCCAGAGAGTATGGGAAACAGGAAGGACTCTAAGAGAGATATGCATTATACCCCGGAGAAGGAGAATGGGACAGGATCTCCTGAGCATATTGAGAGCATGGGGTTGGAGAGAGGGAGCCAGGAAAAGGAGAGGGGGAGAAAAAGGGTGGAGAGAAGGACACGAGGGAGCAGGAAAGTTGAGTCAGGGAAAGGATAGAGGAGAGCATGTTGAGAGATACTATAATAGAGGGAGTCATTATAGGTTTGAGGAGAGATCAGGCGCTAATAAGATTTCCAGAGATCTACAAGGATGATACCAACTGATAATCTAAACAATAGTGGAGAGGCCACCTTAAAAACCCTTCCCCAATAATGATATATGCAATCCTAGAGCCTTCATCCAGTGGCTGATGGAAGCAGAGGCAGACACCCACAGCTAAACACTGAACTGGACTCCTGGAATCCAGTTGCACAGTGGGAGGAGTGACGAGCAAAGGGGTCAAGACCAGATTGGTGAAACCCAGAGACAGCTGACCTGAACAAGGAGGAGCTCATGGAACCCAGACTGAAGGCTGAGAGGCTAGCATAGGACTGATCCAGAACCCCTAAATTTGGGTGTCAGTGCAGAGGCCTTGACAATTTTTGGGGCCTCTGGCAATAAGATCAGTATTTATCCCTGGCATACAAATGGACTTTGGGAGCCCATTCCACATGGAGGAATGCTCTCTCACCTTGGACACATGGGAGAGGGCTTAGGCCCTGCCCTGAATGATATGACAGATTTTGGAGATCACACATGGAGAGCCTCACCCTCCCTGGAGAGCGGAGTGGGGATTGGGTACGGGGCTGGGGGTGGGGGAGGGACTGTGGCGTGGTGGGGGAAGAGGAGAGGGAGCTGGGATTGATGTGTGAAACAAGCTTGTTTCTAATTTAAATAAAAAATACTGGAAAAAATAAAAAATCTAGGTCACACCTTAATAGATCCCAGTTTGGCCTCACAGTGGCTTCTTCTCAGTCCTTGAGTTTGGGAAGTTGTCTAAAATCAGACTGAAGCAGGAGGCAGTGAAGAGCTGTCCCCACTTACTTTTCCCCACTTCCAAGTGAATGAAATATATATTTCTAAACTCAAAGCCATAGTACATTATTTCTAAATCATTTCTAAAGGTGATAAAGGACAAAATTTTCGATATTTCTGAGAAGTACTTCTGTTAGTAGCTTTCTTGACAAACATGGCTTTGACACAGCATCTGTGATTATCAATGTGACATTGGGACAAGAAGAAAAATTTCCAACTTATTATTCCTAATTGGTTATTTTGTTATTTTTAGTAAACTGCTGATCATTAATGACAGAGTAAGGGATTATGTTGCATGCACTGTGATCAGCACATGACTCTCAAGAGTATATGAAACTGTTAATAAGCTAGAGGACCCCTCCATCATAATCAGTTTTGGGCAAATGAGAAACAGTAATAGGTACAGAGGTATCACAATGGATTCTTGAGGTTTAAAATACCATATGAAAAGGAGGAAAGTGGCCGTACAAGTTTGTTGTGAAGCATAAGAGAAGGATAAGGATAATTGCTCCTGGGAACCCATGGCGATTTTTCTAAATTTATGTGTATGGGTGTTTTGCATGTATGTAGGTGTGTGTACTACATGTGTGCCTACTGCCCACTGAGGTCACTAGAGGGCAATGGATCCCCTAGAACTGGAGTTAGACAGTCATGTCACTATATGGTGTTGGGGATCAAATTACTGAATTCTGGTCTCTGAAAGATCAGTGAGCTCTTGACTTCTGAGACAACTCTCCCAAGATCCCAAGCATGGTTACTTTTATATTTATTTTTTTATCATTTGTTTTTAGTCAACTCTTGCAATCCCCCTCCCCCCATAATACTCACAACTCCCACGCCTGAGAAGCTACTGGCAATTGAACTGCTGAAGGAAGGTGGGAAAAGAGGTCAGTTTTCTTTGAGAATGCAACCACTGAGAGGCTACCCATGCTCCATAGATAGAGGCCCTATCCCCACACATTCAATACACAGTCACAGCACTAAGTGAATACAGTGGTTTTAAAAGGGAAACAAAAACAAACAAACCCCCAAACATGAAATTTATAGGGAACAGTGGTAGAGAGGTTGGGGAGAGGGTTTAGTTGTGTGTGTGTATACTTGATCAAAACATGTTGTATGCATGCATGAATTCTCAAAGAATGGACCTGAGTCTTATTTCTGGTTCTGGCTTTTTGGTAAAGAACAGACTTACCATTGTCCTTTCCTTTAAGAGTTAATCCACATGGGCCTCTCACTCCTTGGATAGATAAAAAGAAAAACCCTTGGGAAACCTGTTGGGGAAGACAATTTATTAACTAGTATAAAACTGTGAGAACAGGCTTTGCCCTGCTGTTAGAAAATGTTACTCCCTTGTGATGGGGTATTTTTGCTAACTTTCCACAAGAACCTATTTTACATGACTGAATACAAGTGATGTTGCCTGATAACACTTCTATTCCATTTAAGCGCACTGCTCTCCTGCCTACTGCAGTGACAGTCTAGAAACAGACTTCTAGTCATTCATACCTAACAATGTAGAAAAGCATTCCAGCCTAGGTGATCATAGGACATGGTTATTCACACACAAAGCCTTTAGAACTTCCGGACAAACTAGTGAACAAGGACCTTTTGACATCCATCTGAATTCACGTCAACAGCCCTAAGGCACTCATTCAGAAAGTACAGCGGCTGAGTACTATTCAGCATCTTCACTTGAAGCTACCGTAAACACCTTGACAAAACAACTCACTGTTCCAGGTCCAAATCTATCACTATGGGAAAGCACAGTGATGGGCTCAAGAGAGCTGGTCACATTATATCAAAAGCAAAGAGAAAGTAATGCATGTCTACTGGTACTCAGCTCACTCAAGATTTCCCTAAACATCTGTCCACAGGATTAACATGGTCTAGACAATCCCTCATAAAGAAGACCCTCCTTCCCAGGTGAGTCCAGGCCATGGCAACTGACAAAAGTGCTGCCAATGAAAACTACTGCAACAACTCAAAGCATGCTCGCATTTAATGATACTTCAGCTATTTGATATAACAGCACAAACAAATATAATAATTTCAATTTTGAATGTTATCTTTAGGGTCATGATTAAGTTTAAGAAATTTGGTGGCAACGGATCACATGTTAAAATTGAATTGCGCTATATTTGCTCTCTGACTTTAGGCAAATTATACAAATTTTGCCAATGTATATGTATGACAACATAGTCTAATCATGGGGAGGTTCTCAAAAATAAAGTTAACATAAAATACTTGTCAAAGTTTGATACACACCAACTGAATAACCTCTTAGTTTGTGCAAGCTTCATATTATTTAATTCCCAAATTCCTAAATTTAAGTTACAATAATGTCCTCTAATAAAGTCTTAAAGGCCAGGTGGTGGTAGGGCACGCCTTTAATCCCAGCACTTGGGAGGCAGAGGCAGGCGGATCTCAGTGACTTCAAGCCAGTCTGGTTTACAGAGTTCCAGGACAGCCTCCAAAGTCACAGAGAAACCCTGTCTTGAAAAACCAAAAACAAAAAACAAAAAACAAAAAAACAAAAAAAAACCAAAAAAAAAAACCAAACCAAGGGTCTTATTGATAGCTATTTTAATTATATACCTGAAAACTGAGCTCTGAATCCCACCGACTACTGTTCAATCCAGATTTTTCTCTCATCTCACTGCTTTACACAGACTTCCTCCCTTCCTTCCTTCAAGCCTGGGCAACTCCACCTAATTTGTGACTCAGCAATCTCTCCAAGAATCAACTACTAAAACCTGCCATCTGTCTTCTTTGGACTCCTCCTCTTACCTCAAACCTAGGAGCTATTCAAACCTTTTACTCCATAATCCCCAATTCAGGATCACAGTTTCTTAATCTCTTTCCTGATGTCTAGGCCTTCCTCCTGTCGCTTTCTCCCACCTCCAATTCACCTTGTGCCAAACTGATCTTTGTCAGATGTAAGCTGTGTTGTTCATGTGAAAAAAAAAAAAAGTGGACAGAAAAGGAAATCAACTTTGCGCTCCCAGGTGTATTTCAAAATGGCCAAAGCAGAACTTAAAATCCCCCGACACAAAGGTGGCTGAGTAGATGGGAATGCTTGTTTCCTTGATGTGGTTAATACGTATTATATGCATGAGTCATCATAACGTGCTCCACAAAAACCAAAACTTCAAACATTTAAGAAATTGGTATGCCTGGAAATTACTTTTTGCAGTCTTAGGTTCCATTTCAATATCTAACTGAATTGTTTAGAGTTGTGGACCATGAACTTGTGTTTCTAACATTTTCAATGAAGAGTGATCAAGCTAGTCTAGAAATGGTATTCTGAATAGAACAAAATCTAATGATCCTTAGCTGTTTGGTTCTAACCCCTTATTCCTACACTAGGAATTATGACCTATGTACTCCAAATTTGTCACTGATTTTAACAGATCCTTACATTAACAGGGAAAACAAAGGCAAGTTTGCTGGTGTTTAACTGCAGGTTCTAGTGTACACGATGTCTATAATGTATTTAACACTACCTGCAAGGCAATGGAAACCATTTTGATTTGTCGCATTAATTTTGAGATATCCTTCAAATCACAAAAGATGAGTCTTTAACAGACTATCAATCAAAACCATCTAGGTAAAATGACCTATTTTATGACATTATTTTCTAACAAAACATTTGCAATTTCTCTCAAAACATGCCAATATTTTAGAAAAGCTATTCAACTGATAAGCAGCACAGGGTATGTTTGGACAGACACAGGGAACAAATTCCCAACATCTGAGTCTGCCACCTTTACTCCACAGCTTACTGGTTTCATCTCTGGAAGAGTTTAACCAGTGGCATGAATCTTTTGGCTTGCCTGTAGTACCAAACAACACACCTCACAGAGTAGTCATGAGCAGTTAAGTTCACATGCATTGAAGTTCTTAAAACAATGTTAGGCTGTTACTGGTGTATACTTATCCTAACAGCTACTCAAATATGTCATACTGAAGTAGAAAATTGGCTTCCTGGATGAAATGACAGACTATGGACACCCCAGGGAGGGTGAAGCCTGGGGAAATGAGGGGGCATTGGGGGGGGGGGTTGGTGGGAGGGCGTGGGAGGGGAGGGAAAGGGAGATGGACAGGGGATTGACATGTGAAGCAACCTTGTTTCTCTTTTTTTTTTGGTTTTACCTGTCAGGGTTTCTCTGTATTGTTTTGGAGGCTGTCAGTCCAGCCCGGCCTCACAGAGATCCACCTGCCTCTGCCTCCCGAGTGCTGGGATTAAAGGCATGCGCCACCACAGCCCAGCTTGTTTCTAATTTAAATTTAAAAATTAAAAAAAAAAAAAAGAAAATTGGCTTCTATGAGTTTTCTGAAACAGAAACAGCCAAAGTAGCATGCAGGCAGCAAAGACTAAGAAAAAATACACATAAAACAGGAATAGATTCATCTAATCTATTTGTTTTAAATGAAGCATTTCAAGCTTTGGGAAGTTTTTCTTTTTCAATTTTAATCATTAGGCTCCAATTAGGAAAATCTTTAAAGAAAGATTAATTTTACAATTTAATCATTTGAATAGCGTATCTGTTTACTGGAAAAGGAGTAACAAATCAAGCTATTTTGATACAAAATCTTTTAGTGATATAAAAATGTCTAAAGATCATTAATGAAAATAATGTCTTTGGATACCTATTCTTGAAGAAATTCCTTACATCTAAGAACTCCATGAAAACTCAGAAATAAAGCACTAACTATAATGGAGAAACCTGGTGAGCTAGGTATTTTGGATAATGCACATGCCCACGGCCACATACACCTATCATTAATTAAAAGGCCCACGCAAGTGAGATAAACCGCAATCGTAAGAAAAGGAGACAAGCAATCAGGGAAAAAGTTCTATGATCGCACAAAAGAAATCAACCAGACACACCAATAAAACAGTTTAGAAACCAAGTTTGACTCACTAGCTCATACTTCAGAATAAGGCTATGGAGCAATACTAGATAAACTACTATAGGTTAAAGTCAAGTAAGATCAACTGTAACAAAGCAACAGTATAAAACAATCCCCACTTTTCAAACTGAAAGAGTTGCTTAAAAAATGAGGTTTAAAAAAACACATATTTAAATGTCTTTAAGTGGACACTAAGTCCCTTAACGAGTCTTTAAAGTTTACTGCAGATATCCACAAAGAGCAGTCTCTCATTCATTCATTCAGTGTGTTTATGGATGCTCAATTCAGATGCCACAAGAGGGCATTAGATCCCATGGAGTTGAAGTTATAGGTAGTTATTAGCTGCCCAAAGTGTGTGTTGGTGAGTGAACGAAGTTCCCCCACAGGAGTAGCAAGTGCTCTTAACCACTCCACCATTATTTCTCCAGTCCCCAGAGTAATCATTATAACAAGAGGGTTAGAAGCAATAATTCACAGGACTCAAAATATCTGCAAGAATGTTTTAATGGTTCTCTTCATCTGATGAACCGATAAGGAGAAAATCAAACAAGTTCTATGTAAAGGCAAAGATCCCTAGCATGACATACAAATGACAGAGCTCAATCAGTGCACTGACTGTACAGTCCTCTAAGTGTACTCAGCCAACCTATAGACATCTCATTTCAGCTCATGTTTAATTGTTTACATTAATGGCTTCAGTTATACGACAGGTTTCAAGAACTGCCTTTTAAGGGTTCCACTAAAAAGGTTAAAATTAAACATTCTACTTTAAATTATATCAAGGTTAATGTCTTAGTTTTTAAACTGTCTATCATGTGAAATTTTAATATGGGGAGATATACTAATTACAAAGATCTCTGTACTAGTTTTGTAATTCTGCCAACCTAAAGTTATTTCAAAATAAGATGTTAGAAAAGACAGGTCAAAGTAAGATATTAACTCCTTTGTGCAAGCAAAAGCTAGGCAAGAAAAATAGCATTTAAGTTTCCCATGCTAAAGTGAGTTATATGTATAAAATATATCTAGGTTTGGCTGCATTTATGCCATAATAAAGAAAGGCATACATCTAACAGAAACAACTTCTTAGAGGTAACAAGTATTTCATTAGCTTTTCTTAATAAATGGACAGAGTAAAACACTCTTCCTTAAAAATACTCTGTTGTTTTACACAGAGTTCAAGGTAAATTTGACTTTTTATAAGTGACATACAGAGGTTCTGAAAGAAAATAGCAATTAAATGGTCACAGATGTAACTAGCCACTGCACTACTGTATGAAAAAGTAAAAACAGTGCTATGCAACCAAGTCTGAGGTTAGAAAACTTCACTTTCTTCAACAGTACTAACCCACCGGATAAAACTACTATTCAAGGGAAAAGAGCCTCCATAAGGAAATGATACAGGTTTAATTAATATTTTGAATCAAACTGTTTCAACTTCTTTCCTCAGGCAGAAAACAAGATCACTTTTCTAAATGAATTTGTGTTTAACTAGAAACTTAGATTATTTGGATCCCAGTTTTTTTATTTAATTTCCCAAACAGTTTTAGCATGCTCTTGCCTCATCAAAGCTTGAGACTAGGTTTGTTTTCACGTTTGTTGACAGATGAGACAGTATCTCTGATAGCTATTTGTCAATAGTAGAATGACGCACACAGGTTGCTGCTGTATCTAAGGTATACTGCATATTTGCCTGGTGCCCGTGGAGTCCAGAAAGGGACTATAAGTGAAATGGAGTTCCTTCAGTATAAGTTGCCATATGGATGCAAGGAACCAAACCCAACAGCCAGTGCTCTTAAGAACTGTCTCTCTAGCCACCATCCAGATTCTTTATTAACTAAAATAATATTTTGACTGTACTCACACTTTCTTTGCAAATTCCATTAATACCAAACAGTTTGAGAAGTAAATACCTTTTTACTTTCATTATGACCTATACATGTTTAAGGCACCAATTTACTAAGTTCTGCTAGAGTTCTAACCTTCATATATAACAAGTTTCCCCTTGAGCTGTGCCTCAAGAAGTAATCTATGCATTAACGGCTGTAATTGGCATAAACAAGAAATTCTGTGTCATATACAATTAATGCAAATGAAATATAATATATAACCAATATTATATTAGTAAACTTGTCAATCTCTTCATGAATCCCTTAAAATAACTCCAAAGAATTAAGCAACTGCATTAACATATAACACACAGCTGCCCTACTTTTTCTTCAGTGTATCCTTTTTTGTCGTTGCCGTGACCAAAGCACATGACAGAAACAACTCAAGGGAGGAAAAGTTTATTTTGGCTCACAGTTTCAGAGGATACAGTTTACACTGGCTGCGGAGGCAGCACTGAGAGTGCAGGACAGAGGTGGTACACATACACCCTAAACCAGCAGGGGTGTAGAATCCTTAAAGGCTCACCTCCAGAGAGCCCAGCCAGCCCAACACGGTTCTACAACCTTCAAAATAGAGCCATAAGTTGGGGAACCAATGGCTCAAGGCAAGCCTGCAGGAGCATTCCACATTCAAGCCTCACACATACCTTAACATATTTCAACGTAGCTACACAGTCACAATTTTACAGATAGTTTTCATCTGGGATATAGATATAATTCCCAAGAGGATTTAGACCATAAATTAGATAAAATTTAGTGAAAACACCACAAAACACCTTTAAATAATACGAGACTTTTTAAAAAACATTATTGCTTACTCTTATGAAATGATGAATTTTAACCAAATTGATAATTCTTAGATATATTTCCTATAGTCTTAAATTATACTGCTTGACAAATACTACTGGTATTGATGTAACTTTCTGAAATTAAATTAATTGCAAATGAATCATGTTAGCAGTACACACAGATGGTGACTACACTGCTTCAGGTTTAATACTACAGAAAGTAACCACCTCATAGGGAAACAAAGAAAAATTTTTTCCTTAAAGATTTTCAAGAATTGAGCCTGGCGTTGGTGGAGCATGTCTTTAATCCCAGCACTTGGGAGGCAGAGGCAGGCAGATCTCTGTGAGTTCAAGGCCAGCCTGGTCTACAAGAGTTAGTTCCAGGACAGCTTCCAAAGTCACAGAGAAATCCTGTCTCGAAAAACCAAAAAAGATTTTCAAGAATTACAGTAACAAAAGTTCATGGAAAGGCCAATTAAATTTTTTATATTATACTGTGCTTTCCCATTTAAGGGTAACAGCAATATTAGGACAAAAAAATCCTTTTGTTTCTCTGCTAATAATAATTTATACTAAGAAATACTACAAATATGCTCATCAGTTCTTTTCCTCCCTTCATGTGTGGGGTAACAACTATGTTTCTACTAGTGAGGACACTTGAGTAATCATATTATGGAACTCAAAAGGAAGATAGAGGACAAAAAAATGAACAGACTTTGGCTTTGAAGAACCTCATGATAACTCTAAAATGGAAGATTAAAAACAACAAAAAGATTACAGCAGCAAGCTACTACTTCACCACACATATTAAGAATTCTAAAACAAACAAGAGCTTTTTGTCTCTCTTCTTATCAATCTGCAATATCTTCTTTTTGTTTCTCCTGCTTTTTGGCTGTGGGCAGTTCAAGACTTGCCCACTGCATGGGCTCTGCCTTTCTCATAGTGATCTCAATCTTCGTTGCAGTCATGGTCACATAACTCCGTTTAACATCAATCACCTACAACACAACAAGAGTAAAAGTTAATCTGGTGCTTTTATCGGTCTCAGAAAAACACATTTGGCTTATTTTAATGTCAAAAATCAAGCCTCTGAGGACATAAACATGTTAGGATTATATTCATAAACTTCCATGAATATTCATTTATAAAATGTTTCTAATCAGGAAAAAATATAGATGGATTCTTGATACTTACACCCCAAAGTTTCACATTTTGATGAAATTCTTTCTCTCCTTCAAATACAATGTGAACATTTAACTGAAATAGATAAATTGCCATTATTTTGGTGTTTGATATTGAAAACAAAGCCTTAATATATACTAAGCAGGCAGTGAGTATATATTACTCCAGTAATATATACTCAGTGAGTATATATTACATCCAGTCAAGAGTGATAACTGATCAAATTCATACTCAAGGTTTGTGAAACCAAGTGCCAATTATAAAGACAAGAGTGACACTACTTAAGCCACAAGAGAATGTAAATACAGATACCCCCTCCTCAGCTTCCTTTAAGAAAATGATTAAGAGGATAGAAAATTAACTGGAAGGTTCATAATGAGAAACAAATATATGTTTTGTGATTCTTTTCAGATACTACATTTTTAGAAAACTTTAGAAGAAACTCTACAACACTGTGATTTTCACTTAAAATACTGTTTCTATGATAGTCATTAGTAACTTTCTTCTCAGAACTAACAACTTTGAGAAAGTACTAACAAGTAATGTGTTTAAGATAATTTTCATTCAGTCAACTAATATACTCACCAGTGTACTATTTGCTTCTACTTGGCTGAGCTCTGGTAGTGAATTTTTAGCATACACTGAGATGGTAACTTCACCCCCAGTCTGATGCCAGTCATGTCTACATGGAACAACCTTTTTCCCCTATAATATAACAAAAACTTTGTAATCTTAAAAGCCACCACACTTTCATCATCAAAAACTTTTTCAAAAGAACCCAGTTGGCTAATAGAGGGGAATTCACCATGCACACTTGTCTCAGGGAAAAAACTTCTACAGGTTCCACCAACACTAAGAGGTTTAACCAGAAAACTATGATACAAAACATCTTAACAGCTTATGATATGAGAACACCCTCATTTCTCCAATTTGGTTTTTCTCCCTTAGGGCTAAACTGTTACTGTCCATTTAAGAGATAATTTCACAAGCCTTACTAAACTTTATTCCATTCATATCTTATAGTCCACTAAGTACTGTTACAGATCATTCTTTGAAGACAGAAATAAGAAAGGAATGTTTGGTAAGATAAACAAGACAACACAAGTACGTGAAAGCATGAGAACCTTGAGTTTACTTGTATAAATTAAGAGTTCTGGCTGGTGTTAGGACGGGGCACAGCTCAGTTGGTACTAATGCCTGCTTTCCAAGCATAAGGGCCTGAGTTTGGAACATCAGCATCCACATAAAAAAGTTCATACACACCTAGGATTCTGTAATCCTAGTGCTAGAAGGCTGAACACAAGAGTCCACAGCTGATTTGATGAGCTCTACACTCAGAGAGAATCCATGTTTCATAAAATAAGGTAGTGACAGAGGGAGACACCAAACATGCAGCCGTTATACCCATGCACACACACTCTGTCAACCAGTAACTATTCCTACAATTATTAAATTTCTTTGTCCTTTCATATTAGCATGCAGACAATGTTACAATTGACAGAAATCATCTTTTGACTGCTACTATGACCATTATTTTCCAAAACATATAAACAAATTGTGAGTTTTCTAAGTAAGAATAATTCAGCCAGAAAGTTCAGGATACTATGAAACACTTGTATTTAAAAGAAAGAAAGAAATACTTAACAGTTCATCATAAATACATTCTCAAAACTTTGAAAGTAAAGCACAATTAATTTTTTTAAGCTATTTGAGGCTTTGACCTCAGAAAATGCACAGTATTCCACTTTCTGCTAATAAAACATTTCTGCAAGTTTTATGGTTAGTAATCTATGATCCAAAACCAACAACAGTGAGATACCAAAGACTGAACATATCTCTAGCCTGAAAAGTTCATCTTTGAGTTAAAAGGTAAAAGTTTTATGAACCGGAAAGGTTTCTAAAGTTATCAATGACAACATGGCACAAAAGATTTGTTTATATTCATTATGCTATTAAAATAATAAGAGCTAGCATACAAACCCCTATTTAGCAACTAACTGGTTTTCTTCTTTTTAACTTAAAGAGCTTAAGGGAATTATGTTCACAGCTCTCAGATGTTTTGAAAATAAGCACAGGAAACAGGAACTGATGCTCTGCAACTCTTGTTTTTACTTCCTATTTCCCCAGAGCAGGTAGAGGCATTCAAAGAAACTCCACTGAAGAGTCAACACTTTGGACATTAGATGGAGGGACTATTTGTATGGTTCAATGACTCTGTGGCCAAACAATACTAGAGGCCTAATAGGAAGTGCTTTTATGAAACAATTTTAAAAGTAGGAAAAGGCTGTGGAACTCATCTTTTAATATATGTTTTTAGATTTATTTTGTTATGTGTGAGTGCTTTCCCTGCATGTATGGTGACTAAGTTAATGGGGAGTCTTGTGGATGATGGGAATGAAACTTGGGTCTTTTGCAGAACAAGTTCTTCCCTATGGAGCTGTGAAACTAATTTTAATAAGACCTTTCAATTTTAGCAGGTTCAAAGTATTTCTGAAACTTATATACTTGCATTAATAGATACAAATATTATTTTGTTACAGCAGTATTGAGAGACTGAGAGTAACTACTCTGTACATAGTTACCCTGTAAGAAAGCTATTCTTGTAATATAAACAATACTAATCTCAGATATTTTATAAATGCCTTAGTAGAATACAGCAGGTCAGCAAGTGATTTTGAAAGGTTACTTACTGCATCTTTTTTAGTCCACACATGTTTCCCTTTTGTGCAGCCTTCTTGGGCTAAGAATGTATTAAAATCTGAGGTTTTTCTTCTACAACAGCTCCAATATTTCATCCTTTAAATTAGACAATGAATTAAAATCAGCATTACCATTGTAACAGATGTAGTTAAGAAATAAAAACTCAGCCGGGCGGTGGTGGCGCACGCCTTTGATCCCAGCACTCGGGAGGCAGAGGCAGGCGGATCTCTGTGAGTTCGAGGCTAGGCTGGACCGACAGCATCCAAAACAATACAGAGAAACCCTGTCTCGTAAAACCAAAAAGAAATAAGAAATAAGAACTCCAACAGAAACTCCAACTTTAAATATGTTCCAACTTGCGATGGAACCAGTATTTATTCCTAGTGCACAAATGGACTTTGGGAGCCCATTCCCCCATGGAGGGATACTCCCTCAGCCTAAATACATGGGGGAGGGCCTAGGCCCTGCCCTAAATGATGTGATAGACTTTGGTGATGCCCCATGGAAGGCCTCACTCTCCCTAGGGAGTAAATGGGGAATGGAACGGGGGGGGGGGGGAGCCGGTGGGGAACCTGGGATTGACATGTAAAATAAGGTCGTTCCTAATTTAAATTTAAAAAGCTAAAAAAAAATACCTTCCAAGTATTTGGTAGTGAACATTTTAAAATTGATACATACTAGGGAAACTAACAATTTAAAAAGCAAAGTGGCATTTATAGTATTAACTTTGCTTTTGAGTAAATATATAAAGCAATCACAAATTCTAAGTCCAGTTTCTCACTGTGAATGTAAACGCTAATCTCTCATAAAACTACTAAAAAGTGGTATGACCAAATATTCAAACATTCACACTTCAACAACCTGTTAAACAACATGGAACAAAGTAGAAACGAGTATTTCCACACGACAGCCAATCTCACAGAAGGGAAAACTACTACTAACTCAAGACCCTGCACAGCTAACTAAAAATTACAGCCCTCCAGGAATCTGAAGCATGTGGAAACAGCTGAATACTACATATTAATTATATCATTATATAGAGACAAACTCTAAACTGAAAGTTATGGAAAAGCAAGGGCTTCCTGGGCAATGGTGCTTTAGTGCCCCATGACCAAACATTCTAATGTCCTAAAACTAAATGACAGTCCTTTAAGAAAAGTAACTCAGGCCATGTGGTAGGACATGCCTGTAAGTGCTCTACATGAGGCTAAGGCTTGTCCCAAGATAGAGGCAGTCCACACAACCAGTAGGACCCTACCTCAGCTTTAATAAAAATATAAAAGTCCAAGTAAGATAATACTGAAAAATCACAATGATAACTTAAAAATTGTAACCCTATTTTTCTCCCGTGTTTAGTGAAGGCAACTGTCCCTGCCCTTAGGATATTATAAGGATTAAATGATAATGGAGGTAAAACTTTTCCCCAAACTGCATGGCAATGTTTAAAAATATAAAGGTTTAATATTTTGATCACTACTATAAATATTTTAATTAGGAATGTGTAAGTTACCCCTCATGGAAAATAGGTACTCCAGAATGATATACACAGACTTCGTCTAGACTCTGTAGACCCTGGTATGTCTAAAAAACAAAGATAGAGAGAAAAAAATTAGCCGTTTATCTCACACTTGCATCTTATACCCATGCGTAGTATTGTTACTCTTAAGGTCTTCAGAAAATACTTCAATAACAGAAGCTAAGAGAACACTCGCAAATTCATCAAGCAATGGAGAATGACTAAATTCTAGATCCCTGTAAAGAAAGCAAACAGAAAGGTACGCAACTTACTATACAAGATGCTGCCAGCCTTTTAGGCATGAGGTTATAATGAACTATATTGAAGTATTTAAATTTAGAGAGACATGTTGGAATCAAGGGACTTATCCTATCCACAAAACAGAGTACAGTGTACTCTCTGTGGGCATTATCAATTAACATAGGACATCTAATACGCAATCCTGGAAGTTCAGTAGAATGGTGATGTTATCCCTACAAATGGTAAAATGAGCTGCAGACCTATATATACATCCATGGTTTGTCTGGAGATCCGGGCCCCACTGCTGCTGTACATGAAGGCTCTACAGATGAATTCACAAAAAGTTATGTTAATAAAACATGGATGCAGCTGGTAGTATATTTTCTAATTTTGTATGCATATTAACTAAAGTACAGAAGACCAAAATTTTCTGTTTCTTTTCTCTAAGTACAAAGTACCAGGTGTTTACCACCTTAAGTACGTAAGCTCCAGGATGTTAGAATCTGCATTTATCATTACTGCCACCTAAATATCTCCTTTCTTATCTTATTCAATGGCAGCAAATGTACTGTCATCCAAATCTGTGTCAGTATGCCTATCATCTTTACCTCTAAAGTTATCATAAAATCTTGTCAAACTCAATGAAAACACTTATCAGTTCAACCTCACTCAACAACTAGCAAGTTCTCCTCAAATGCCCTTTGATTAAGAAACACCTCATATTTTCCACCATACTCAGTATTCGACATATTTAAGTACCTCTCATGAGAAAATGACTATAGCTCAGAAGAAGTATTTTCAAATGAAGCAGAGCACAGGCAATAAAGGGAAAAACAGAAAAACTTCATTTATGGAAATTAAGTGTCTTTGCTTATCAATGATATCATCAGGTCAGTGGATACCAAACAAAATACCTCTGACAAAGAACTTTTAACTAACAGATATCAATAGTTCCTACAAGATTGTTGGGGAAAAGATGGCAAAAAGATAGGTGAGATATTCTGGACATTAGCCAGAGAGGAAAGAACTGGAGAGCAGGCACACAAAAGGGCAGTCAACCGTGACACCACTGAACTCAAGTAAATACTAAGTGACAAAATTGTATGATCTACCAGCATTACTGAAATATAAAACACTGACTTGACATGTGCCAATGTACAGACAAGCGGATCCAGCCCACAAATACAGATAAGCATACAGAATAAGCAACCTTTGAAAACCACCTCAATATATCTGCTAAAACTGAACATAAACACACAATCCATTTCTAGTTACAAAAGCTATACACAAAAGTGGTGTGATTAAAAAAAGACACCAGGAAGGAAAAATGAATTACTAATTGTGGCATACTTTCAATAAGGATATTTACAAAGCACCAAAAAGGGCAAGATAATGGCTATATTTCCTAAAATAAAGCTAATGTAAGTGAAAGAAGACAAGGAGAGCAAAATACATGTTGATAGATAAAAAATAAACCTTCGGAGAGAAAATGTGTGAAGAGTAGGTAAGATGTGCTTCTCCAGACACAGAGAGCCCGAGCCAAGCATCACACTACGCTCTGCAAAAGTCCAGTTGAAGAGAGGATTATGTGAGCAAGGAGGGTCAGCATTATGATGGGGAAACCCAGAGACAGCCAACCTGAACTTGTGGGAACTCACTGACTCTGGACTGACAGCTGGGGCGCCTATATGGGACCAAACTAGGCTCACTACATGTGTTTGACAGCCGTGTAGCTTGGTCTGTTTGTGGGACCCATCCCTGGTGCATGAGCTGGCCTTTTGGGGCCCACTCCATATGGTGGGAAGCCTTGCTCAGCCTCTGTGCAGGGGGAAGGGACTTGGCTTGCCTCAACTGAACAATGCCAGATTTTGTTTACTCTCCATGAGAGGCCTTACCCTTTCTGAGTAGGTGGGGGTGCATTGGAAAACAGGGGTGAGACGACTGTGGTCGGTATGTAAAATGAAAAACAAAAAACTTAAAAAAAAAAAGATATGCTTCTCAATACTGCAATCTTCATTTTGGAAGCCCTCAAGTTTAAACTTGAACTTGCACAAGTTCTATCAAACTTCACTATTTCACTGAAATAGACTAAATATTTCCTAAATCCTCTATTATCTAAAAATTTAATTTCTCATCACTAAAGGCACTTAAATTTGATAATCTCTTAATTTCTACCTATATAAGGAAACAGAATCATGACATTCCCATGATTTTGTTATAGTGCAATCAGTTTTACTAGGCATATCTCCCCATCCCTATTGGTACTTTTATTAAGTTGAATTTCCACTAGTATTCTGACACCTGTACAGCCTTTCTCATTCCCATTCTCTATCGATAGCATCCAACTATGAACCCTGTATCCTCTAACAGCAAACGGCCTGCAGGATTGGTACAATAGTAGCACAAATGTTAGGGGTATAATAAACTATCTTTTGATTGGATTCAAGGCCTACTCTAGAAGGTGGAATCAACATTTGAAACTTACTGAGGCCAAGAACCTGAGGCAGAGAGACCCTGGGCTCTGGAGGAAAACCTACTACTAATCTTTGCTAAATGAACACAGGGGGAAAAGACATTGCTATCCCATAGATCACTGCATCACTCAAGTTCTTCAGAGAAGCTTCTTGTAGTTGGTGGTAATTAACATACAAACAACTCCAAGGTGGGCAGACAGTGGGAAACCTTGGAGCACTCAGCCATACATGAAATGTTTCTATAAAAACTCTCCCCATTCAAGGCTCAAGAATAGTAGAAAGACTATGAACCAGAGGTCGTGGATGACTCCAAGGAAACAGCATTTCCAGGTATAACAAAACTAATGTACGCCGGGTGGTGGTGGCGCACGCCTTTAATCCCAGCACTCGGGAGGCAGAGGCAGGCGGATCTCTATGAGTTCGAGGCCAGGCTGGACCGACAGCCTCCAAAACAATACTGAGAAAACCTTGTCTCATAAAACCAAACAAAACAAACAAAAAAAACTAATGTACACATTAACAGAGACTGTGACAGTATTACTGGAAAAAAAAAAAGGAAACCAGAGAAAATGTCAAAACAGAGGAAGTGGGCACACCAAACAAGGAAGCAATCTGCAACTGGTACCTGTTGAGAAAGGGGAAAAACATTCAACCACGCGCCATCCAGGACAGGCTTCATGCTCAGGAGGAGCTGACCAACACAAACCAGATTCCAGCTTTTGTGTGTGTGCATTTATTGTTATGCTTTGGTGATTTGTTTATTTATTGAAAGAAAGAATATGAAGTCAGATGAGTAGCGAGGATCTGAAAGGGGTTGGGAGTGTGAAGAGTATTAACAAAATGTATTTAAAGAAAAAAATTTAAAAATAAAATTTAAATTAAAAAAATCACCCTTTCACTTACTACTTCTACCTTATACATATGAAGTTGTACTTCCATTTCCATTCCATTTTTAGTACGCAAGGGATCTCAAATGTTATAGAAAGAAAACAAACCTGCTGAGACCCCATCTTCACCTCAACCATCTTCTAACTGCTCTGGCAGGGATGCAGATACCATTTTTATTGTTATTTTATTCTTTTATGAGCATGGGTGTTTTGCTTGATCATGTCTGTGTACCAAGTGTGTGCCTGGTGCCCAGGGAGGTCAAAAGAGGGCAATGGATCCTTCTGATCTAGTGTTGCAGGTGGTTATGAACTGCCATTTGGATCTTAGAATCAATTCTAGGCCCTAGGGAAGAAAAGCCAGGGCTCTTAATTGCTTGAGATAATTGTATTCCTTATTTTAACAACTGAAACAATGTACTCTACAAAAACACACTGCCCCTAGGAATATCATGTCAGGTGAGGAGAAAGTCAAATGGAAAGGTCAGACAAGGCTGAGTTTGTGGTAGGTGGGGCCAGATCTTGACTGAGGCCACTTCATTATGCATACCCCCAGCTGTCTCACACAAAAGACAGTGGGTGTTGCTGATCTTTGTCCCTCTTCCCAATTGATCAAATGACTAAAACACCTTTTCTGTTTTTTCTCAGATTAACTTATTTATTTAAATTGGCCTATCAAAGATGGGTGGTTGAACTTGGCTACTTGGGGCATAGGCTGTGACCCTAAACCCACAATTATCCAGATTCTTGAAGGCACAACTACTCAAACTATACCATTAACTGTCCACAAATCAGCTATGTGCCAGGCACTGTTCCAAGCATCTGATATACAAAACAAACAAAACCATATTAGCCTAATCCACACCATGGCAAAGAGAGTAGCTGGTAACTGAAGAAGCCAAGTAAGGTAAAAAGTTTTACAGAGGAAAAACCATAAGAGGGTATACAGAGCAGACAGCAAAAGATCTCATGATGCTTACCCATACCCCACATTTAATCATTTCTTAGTAACCTACTCTCCAGAATGACACTGCCTGCTCTTGTGCAACTGTATCCAAGCTTGTTTCTCTTCCTCCATTTCCACTTGTGACAGACATCTCTTTAAGTCTCCCTAAACTGGGCACCATGGTACATAACCATAATCTTGAACTCAGCTGAGGGACAGGAATGAAGTTTGAAGCCAGGCTGGGGTAGAGTGAGAACTGCCTCCACCAACAGAACAAAGCACCTTCCAGAAAAGGTAAAGGCTTACCACCATAGTTAAAGTAGTTCAAACCCTCATCCCGGCTTAGACCTTTCACCATCTTTGCCTGCTGCTTTCAGATTATTGCCCAAACCCCTGACTGAAACCACTGTGGTTGATCCATGTAGTGAATTTATTTCCAGTCTGACTGAATTAATTATGCAATGGCCTATTCTGTTCTGCTCACATCAGAACAGAATCAGGGACAGAGGTTTTTCTTGGATACTGTTATCTCCATCCCTTAAACAATGTAGAGCACAAATCAAGTGCGTAGAATAAATCTCAATAAAATTAAATTTGTTCCACTGATTCTATCAGATGTCCTCTTAGGAAGTCTCTTACTGTATTTATAGCCCTAGTCTGCGGCGAGGTGCCCAACATGTAACTAGCCCCCAACTATTAGCTATCTTTAGAGAGAGTCGCAGTCCTTTGCTTCAATATTAAAATTTTACTCCATAAATCCAAAGTTTTATAATATATACCTTTGAACACCCTCCATTTTTACAAGAAGTCCCAATCTTAATTTCATCACTGTCTTCTTCTGCAATGAAAAAAAAAGTAACACAAGGTTTCATAATGATGTTCTTTTCAACAAGAGGAATAAAATCTAAAACTACAATATTAAAATAAAGCCCTACTGTTTTGTTAGTCTTAAAAAATAATCTATGAAACAAGTCCGGTTTAAGGAAAACAATAGAGAAAAACAAAGAAACCCACAGCCCAGTCGATGTGGTAGTGTACATCCCAGCACTTGGAAGGCTGAGGCAAGATGATTATGAGTTCTAAGACACCCTAGATCATCACACAGACAAACTACTGGACAATATCTTGTCTCAAAACAAAACAAAAAAGCCCTATACCTAGGTTTTGCCTATATGCCCCCAAATGATATATAATGTGTTTTCAATCTACAATGCAGTGCTTATAAAATTTCATACAGCAGAAATCATGGAAGGTATTTTTGTCTCTTGGTATTAGGCAGAGGTCAAATAGATTATAAAATATATTTTATATGATGCATAAAAATTTGTTATTTAAGAAATTTAACTGATAAAATAATTAAGGGGTGATAAGTTTTCATACAGACATAATCAATGAACTGAAAGTTCTTTCATGGTATTATTAGCATTTGGGAATAAAGGAAGTTCTTCCTACAATGTGCTACATTTTCACAAACTCAGCTATCTCTTTTGAATAGCTTCTTATACAGAAGAATATTGTAAAACAAAATAAAACCAAAAAACCCTGTCTTACCTTTCTTATCTTCTTCATTCCCTGATGACAGTTTAAGTTTATCAAGTGCTTGTTTTAGAGAAGCAGATATTTTTAATTCCAAGTTTGTCATTGGCTCATCTGGGCTGGAGAATTTTGAAGTCATATTATCATCAACAGACAAAATTATTTCTTTGTACTTAAAATTGATAACCTTAAAAATCTTCTATATGAAATATTTTCACATCAAGTTATTCCTAATATAAGTATTTTTCAAACAAACGTAACAATCCGCCAACATTTTAACTTTTAGTAAAATGATTCTTCTATTAAGAAGTTTCGAAGATCAAGCCACTGATAGCATAAAAAGATGCTACACAGTGGAGCTACAGGAAGTGAGTAAAGACCAGGAATGCAAACTCTGTGGAAAGGACTGTATAATACTATTCAGTTCACCCAAGCAAAATTCTGAGCACAACTAAACCACTAGTGAAAGCACACTTATTTTTATTAGAGTCAATTCACATATGCAGACTTTAAAATTTAGATACAATTTTATGGCAGTGTAAAACTACAACCATCTCCAAATATTTCATAATGGTTTAAGTTTTCCATATATAACTTAAGCCTATTCAATAAGCAAATATTTAGACTAATAAACACAGCAATAAAATTTATCATAGGTAATTCAGTCTGCATACCTAATGACAAACTGGCAAATGTTGATGAAGTACACTAGAACAAGTAACTTATGTATCACATGGATTTAAATACAACACTTAGGTGATGGAGAGCTAGCTTACTGATTAAGACAACTTATTGTTCTTTCAAAGGATTGGGGCTTAATTCTTAGCACCCACCCAGTGAATCAAAAATTGTCTGTAACTTTGTTTCCAGGAGAACCAGATGTTCTTCATGGATACCAGGCATGTAAGTGGTCAGACACACATGCAGGCAAAACATACCTATACAGACAAAATACAATAGAAAAAATATATTTAACTTTTCCCATAGCCTCAAGTACACCTAATAAATCTGCAGTCTTTCATTTAAAGAAACTACTACTACTTTCCAGGAGGCTCTACGGAGAGGTAATAGATTCAAAGATGAACTAATGCGGGTGGATTAAAAGCATTTTGACCTTTACCTACAGCCTATACCTCTAATCATTAATGAGCAAGCAAACACCAAAAGTTAGGATTCTTATCTTGTGCTATAATATGTAATAGCCTATAAATATATTTAAATATAGTAAAGTTTGGGAACACTCTAAATTTACAGTATGAATAAAAGCTTCAACTGGTTTCAATGGTTTCTCAGGCTTGTATTTAGAAAGAACTCACCTGGGAGACAAAGCTGAAGCTGAAATCCTGTGTTTACATTCTGTAGCTCAAGTTCTGAAACAACCACTATTTAAGTGCAGTTGGGGGATCTTGTGTTACATGAGTAAACCCATTAATGAGTTTCAAAATGTAGTCTTGTTTGAACAGAAGGGGATTACAAACAACTTAATTCTATTCAAACCCAGCAAAAGTCATTTTTAAAGTATTTTGACAGGCAGGCATCCCAAATCAAATAAACTATGCAGGTACTAATGAGAGCAATCAATTAATCTTCAAACTTATATAAAAGTATAATTCTTTTACTGAATTCCACCACGCCACATGAGAAAGATAACAACAGAAAACGAAGATGCACAACTCCCCAAATCTTGTGCATGCCCTCAAAAATTAAAGGGTTATCACCAAAGGAAAAACCACAGACAGTGGTCACTCAAAATGCCTTTATATACAACGTTCAAAGGAGTTACGCCAGGAAATGCCATTATCACAGTGTTACAAATATAAGCATCTGTATAAAGTATACCTTGGCCTTTTTATTGCTTCAACTGGTTTAGGGGCTTGAATGATGTGTTCCTGAAATTTAGGTTTTAATTCAGACAGTTCCTTCTTCTCTGTAGTCTTGACTTCAGGCTTGACTGGTTCAGGTGGCTTTTCACTGTTATGCCTACCTTTTGTACAGCCCTGTTAGAAGAAAATATAACTGAACGGTTATGCTTTCATCTACTTTACGGATGTAAGTTTGTATTTTGGGTGTTGTAAAAAGTCTTTTCAAATTATTTATATAAGCCAAAGCTCTTTATTAAAAAAAGGTCTTAACCTGCAGTCTGAGTTGGTAGAGTGCTTCTCTAGCACGTATAAAGCCCTGGGTTTGACCTCCAATACCACTAAGTCTGACATGGTGTCTGTATTTGGAGGCTGGCAGGTCAAGAGTTCAAGGTCATCCTTGGCTATACTTGGACTTTGTGAGACCCTGCCATAAAACAAAACATAAACAAAAAGGTTTCAATCTAAATTTCAACTTTCCTACTAAACTGTAATGTGACCTTAACTCAAATATCTTTTAAATTTTATTTTTCTCATCTATAATATAGAAATAACTTCCTTTCTTGGTGCCATATAAACAATGGGCCATCTCATTGGTGTCTTGATAAAATTAACTGCCTCTAATTGAGTTTGTTCTGTATCAGTGCCAGCCCATAACTTCCTTCCTTCTTTTCAGGACTACTAAAATCAAGAATGTAAAATGACAAATGAATAGTTAACATAATAAAATCTTATTCTCTAAAGCAAACAAAGGATTTTAGAGGCTATGGATGAGATGAGCTCCCTTTGCATAAAGTATGGTACAACTTGATAGCTGAATTAATGGCTATCAGTGATCTGACTGCTCTCTCTATCTGGAGATTCTAGGATATACTTTTAGAAAAATAATAAAGAAACAAACTAGTACTTACTACAATGCTTAAGAAGTCAGAAAAATCAGTTGTTCTTCTCTTACAGCAAGACCAACCCTATAAAACAAAGAAAAACAGCAAACCCTTAAAACTGTGTTGTATTCATTTCCTTGAATCGTAACATTCTATACATATATAAACACACACGAGTTTAGTTTTTGTAAGGTATTCCCTATCACATGATTTTAACAATTAACTACTTAAAATATAGAAAATCAGAAGCCATTTTGTTTAAGAATATTATTTGAATTTTAGGAAAAAAAGTTTTTCAACACCATGTATTGGACTATGGATATAACTTATTGGAACTCTTGCCTACTGAGCACAAATAACCAACAACCTCTCTCCAACTCAAGCATTTAAGGGATCTGAAGAACAAGGTGATTAACTTGGGGAGAAAAAACCTATTAAGTAACAATTATAGCACTGTAGTTTCTAAACAAACTCACCTTTCAGCTAGAAGCAAGTGAGGTAAGTGAAGTTTTAATAAACTATCAAGTGACTCTTTGGGATTAAAGTAGGGAGTTTCAAAACCAGGGAAGGAGACAGATGTCACCTGTTGTAATGCCCCTTCTGCCTACCAAGTTAAAAAAAACAAGCCAGGACAGAACACTTGTAATGGATTATCGACAGGGAAGCGTTCAGGTGACACAGAGCTAAATATGCTCATAGCTAAATTAATAAATGAATTTAGTGATATACCATCTCAAACACACATTTTGGGTTTTGGTATTAAGAGCAGCCCTTAACACAAGAAAGTTAAACCAATAACAATAAAGTAAGGCTAAATAATTCCTCTTTGGTAAGGTAGGAAAGTAGCTGCTTAGGTGTTTGGAAGCCTTCATCTTGATTCTTTCTTAACCCTCAATAAAAGTCAAAGGAACAAAGAACGAAGGCCCTGGTTCTGACGCTCTCCCTGCACGGCTTGCCTCACTGCCACCGTAAGATGTTGTGATTCCTTCACTGTGCTCTGGTTTCAGTCTATGTCTGCTTGGCTTTTCTTCGGCTCCCACCTTTTCTTTGGCACAATGCCAAAGAAAGGAGACTAATTTTAATTATTTCACTCAAAAAAGGGGGGGGGACAGATACAGATTGGTGAAGGTAGCTCTTAGTTACTGATTTTAATTCTAATGTAGGAGTAAGGAAATAGAAATACAATATCCCTGTATCCCCAAATTCATATTGTTCATGTGGGCCAGCTTCTTAACGGATAGAAGTTTTGGCGGTTAATTTTTTAACAATATAAGGTCTCTCTTGTTTCTTGCCTGTTCTTAAAAATAACAATTAAATATTCTCTAATTTATTTATTTTTTTTTCCTTTCCTTGTGGCCTCTGGATTAAGATGCACACAAGCAATTACCACAATCTTATAGTTTTTAAAGAGTGCTGATATTATTCAACAAATGTATCGCTAAGAGAGTTTTATTGACTTAATTGTGTGTGTGTGTGTGTGTGTGTGTGTGTGTGTGTGAGAGAGAGAGAGAGAGAAAGACACACTAACTTAGCATTTAAGAGAGAGAGAGAGACAGACAGACACTAACTTAGCATTTAAGAGAGAGGCAGAGAGAGAGAGAGACAGACAGAGAGACACTAACTTAGCATTTAACTGGTACCAGAAACAAGTGAAAACAAAGGTGCAAGCATCTGCTCTGATCTTTTCAGTCTCTTTAACAGCCTTTTTTTTTCTTTTTTTGGTTTTTCGACAGAGTTTCTCTGTATTGTTTTGGAGTCTGTCCTGGAACTCGCTCAGTAGACCAAGCTGGCCTCGAACTCACAAAGATTCGCCTGCCTCTGCCTCCCGAGTGCTGGGATTAAAGGAGTGTGCCACCACTGCTCTTTAAACAGCCTTTATGTGTGTTGAAACTGAATATGACGGTGTATTTCTCTTTCTTGAAAAAGAATTGTTTCTTGACTGATGTTCATTTCCTTCTTACTATATTTTTTTCCTTATTTTTCCCTTCTACCATTTTCTCCTATTTCCTAACCACAGCAGTGTTTCCCATTTTGGCTCCTTAAGTACGTTTGCCTGTATCCTCAAGTTGTCACCTCTAGTCCAGTGATTCTTTGGCATATCTGTATGTATATGTCACACAGATAACATCAAACCATTCCGGAACTGAAGTATTTTTATTACTCTCATTTCAGTAGTTGTGTTGGTTTTTATTATCTCTGTTCATTGTGCGTGAATGTGTGTAAGAATAGAAGCTAGAGGTCAACATAATGTCCACTGCTCTCCACCTTTTTTGGACAAGGTCTCTTACAGAACCTGGAGCTTGATAATTCATCTAGACTAGCTACAGAGCAAGGCCCAAGGACCTATCTTTCTGTGACTGGGGTTAAAGATCCCTTCACTCTGATTTTATGTAGGTGCTGGGGATCCAAATTTAGGTCCCATGCTTGATGAGTGATGTCAGTGTCAGTCATTCTCCAAACTCCTGTTCTATGTCGGTATCCTATAATTCTAAAACTATGTATTATACACTTCAGCTTTCCAAGGCTGCTGGATTCCATGGCCCACTAAATTTCAGGTAATACAAGCACTGATAGTTTCCTATTTAACGACTGAGAGAAATGCTCTGTTATTGTTAATATTCAAGGAAAGACAGAAAGTAACCTTATGCTACATATTTACATTTAACTTTCTTTAAAAATGTGTAATTCACTGAGAGCTTGCCTATCACATTATGAATCTGAAAAAGGTTAACATGGAAAACTTGAGCAAAACAAAGCAAAAACAAACAAAAAGACACCATTGTACTATTTCTCTGATTCTCCAGCTCATCAAGGAAATAAAGGCGAAAATATGGTACCATGTTTCTAGTAAAACACTCCAACTAAATGTGTAGAAGCATTAAATATCTGAAACAACCAATTTAATACCCAGACAGAACCTTTCTTATTAGCCAACAGAGACAGACTAAAGACTGAGACCAGTATGACTGTTTTTATTTAACTTCAAACTTAGGAAGGGAATACATCAGAAAAAATGGGCTGGGATGTAAATAAAATAACTTTATAACTGGAAAATATCACTGTCTTTAAAGAACATGCTTAAAACACCCAAAATGGTTATTAACTGACAAACCAAGGGAGGGAAAAAAAGTATCTTGTTCCTACCTTCAGGGCATCATGAAATACAGGTACACCTGGGTGGTATGTGCAAGCATCTGGTCGAAAACAGAAAAAGAAAGCAACACAGCTGTTTATTATTAGAAGTTTATGAATCACTCCTTCAGGTTGTTGGGTTTGATCCTTTTTCCAAATGAAGGTAAATTATTCTTAACATTTCATTAACTCCTTGTATTAAAAACAGTAACAGTTAAATCTCTAAGTATACTCTACACACATAAAAGTAATACAGAACTGTTCAAGAATAACATTCGGGAATACTCTATCAGTGGTTCTCAACCTTCCTAATGTTTTGACCCTTTAATACAGTTCCTCATGCTGTGGTGATCCCCAACCATAAAATCATTTCATTTTTACTTCCTAACTGTAATCTGGTACTGAAATGGCAACTCCTGTAAAACGGCCGTTTGACTCCTAAAGGGGTAGTGGCCCATAGGTTGAGAACCAAGATATTCCTCCATCTTTGTCGTAAAGTTTCCTTACTACTAAACGTTAAGTCCTATTGATTCTAGCAATTTTTTTATTCTCTAAAAATTTTATACATGTATAAAGTATCGTAGTCACACCCACCTGCCTCACTTGTACCCCACCTACACTCACTGACCCATCTTCTTTCCCCAGAACTTCAAGCCCACTGAGTCCAACTACCACTGCCTATCTATATGCACATGCATTTCAATAGCTAGCCACTCTGGGGAATGAAAGTCCCTCCTTCCCCAGCAGCCATGAACTGCCAAGAGCTTTTCACCTTAGCTTGGGGGAACCATAGACTTCCCTTCCCACTCTGTGCTGGAATATTTGAACTAGATGATGTTGTACTGTGCAGTCTTGTGCAGGCAAACACAGCTGCTATGAGTTCATGTATGGAACAGTCATGTCATGTCATGTTGAGAGCATAGAATTTCACAGCACCCCTTCCCATATTCTGTTTGGCCATATCTCAACTATCTTTTCAGAAAAATACCAAAATTTCACATACTCTTAAAGCAACTCATAAAAGCTGCAAGAGTCTCTAAAATGATATTTTGAAAAACACTGACTCAGCATTTTAATAACTACTGTAATATAAATTGCTACAATAGCATTCTTAACAAGTCCTTCCTAGATACAAACCAGAGTTCTATAGTCCGTTTCAGTAACCACTGATGATTATTTATTTCCTGTCTCTCTCTGTATTACAGAATAAAAGTTTTAATTTATGTAACTCTTATACAAAGTATGTTTATTACCACTGGCAATGTACAGTATTTTGTTTAAAACAATCAGGAAATGACACACTTATTATCTGAAAACACAGTAACATAAAGGTTAGAGAAAGCCAAATTACTCTGTCATTTTCCTACTTCACACAACCTTCCAAGTTTAACTTTTAATTCAGTACAATCTGATTTCTGGTATTGCTTTAGAACTTCTCTACTCTCTACTAACATCTAATATTACTTCCTTAAAGTGCTGGTTATACGTACAAAATACTAGCTAACGGAACGGAGTAAGAAAAAAGCCCACACGTTAGGAAAGGCTACTAGTTACACACAGCAGAGTTAGAATAAGGAAGTGGGTATGGAAATGTATATACAAAGACATGAAGTTGAGAGGGGAATACCAGATCATTTAATCTAATGTACAATCACTGCCATAAAGTATGCAATGTATATAAACAGCCAAGCATAAACAGTCCAGGACATCAGGACAGCTGGATCTTCACCTTGTAACCAGCATGAATGAAATGTGAAAAATCACTGCTGTCACGAGCCAAGGACAATTAGATGGACAATCCCTTCTCTAGCATTTATCAGGTTTACTAGTTCGCTGAAATTCATGTTGAATGATGTAAAGCTGTAACAGATTAGCAGTTCAACTTTAAGAGCTTCTTTTTTTTCCAGCTAGGCTTAGCTGAAATTTTCAGTTGTCACTTGTAGCTGTTGTGTTGCTTACAACCGAGTGTCTACTTTAGAGTACTTAGCACATGGAGGTTATGTTCCTCTTGACTTTTTAACACATACTTGATCATACACTAAACTGTCCTATCATCTTGAAAAGAGTCTAATTTTTCTATACGAGGCAAAACAAAAAAGACAAAAATAAACTTCAGAAGAGATGAAAGAGGGGGTGGAGAGAGGGCCCAGCAGTTAAGAGCACTGGCTGCTCTTCCAGGGGACTCTGGTTCAACTCCCAGCACCCAAGTCCCAGCTCACAACTGTCTGTTCCAAGGGATCTGACACCTTCATACAGACATATACATGCAGGTGGGTGAAACATCAATGTACATAAAATAAAAATGGATAAATTATTTTTAAAAAAGATGAAATAAGTCAATAACATGGAATTTATACCACAGTATTAAGAAAGGGAAGAATGCTTCTTTCTTTTTATTTTTCCAGACAGGATTTCTCTGTAGCTCTGGAGCCTGTCCTGGAACTCCCTCTGTAGACCATGCTGGCCTAGAACTCACAGAGATCTCTGCCTCCCAAGTGCTGGGATTAAATGCATGCACTATCACCACTAGCAAATGGTTTACAGCTTCTCACAAATAACACATCCATCACCATACTCCTTGACAACATATGACCGTATTGGCACCTTCAACATTACCCCTTTAATTTGTAAGGTCAATGTATGTTAAAAAAACTTTCTCTTAAATCCAGTGTTTTCAACTGCCATTCATTCAATGAATTTATCCCCAGATTCTAAAACAATTCCGACTTTGCTAAAGTATATTTTTTTTTTTTTGGCCAGGTGACTGGAGTTCCCTGCTGTACGTGATGCTGTTAATAGCTGCAAATTGAAGATTGTTTTTTTACTTGTGTGTCTTTCCTAGCCTGGTTTTTATCTTTTCTAGGTACTACACCATTCCACACACAGAGTAACTTCCAGTAACAAGCTGGTATGTCTCCTGAACTTTGAACCACAATCTAATACCGTAAAAATATTGCCCCATGCTACAAGGCATCAATGTATTGAGCACTAAAGTAGAATGTGCACATAACCAAGGTAGTTTACCAAGTGCTTGTAGACTGACTTCGTCTTTCCCTTCCTTTAAATCCTGTACCAGTCTTATTTCGAAAGAAGTCACCAGTTCACTGGGGGTACCAAGATAAATATTTTAAACACTTCAAACGTGAAAAAGATCTTTAATTATGGTACTGGTTTTAAACTCTTTCACAATGCTGAATTGTGTTAACTATCTACCACGCGGGGCTCCGGTCTGCAATGCGATACTTCACAGCGTAGTTCAGTTATATAATGAAGTGACAGTTCAATACCTTGCATATAAAAAGCGCATTATACATGCTAGGTGAATCTGAGACAAGTGTCACTTTGCACAACAGCCTAGTAATCAGCATAATTATTCCACTCACGAATGAGACTCACTCGCACCTCTGGGTTCACCCAGCATCACCCAGTATTGCTTTCACTGTTCATTCTTAATTAGACCACATGGTTTCTGGAGCACCACTGGCGGCTCATTTTATGCTGGTTGGCGTGTTAAAACCGCATGCCCCAGCAAAAGTATACCGAAGACGTTGCTACTGTGCAACGGATGTGTAAAAGTCATTTCCGCACCAAGCACAGTTCTTTTGAAAGCAAGCAATTTACACGAGAGGGAGGCTGAATGAACACGTGACAACACGCTTTTCACCAGCACTCCAATGCAACCAAAAGTCCAATGCAAGAACGGTCCACTGCCCACCACCGTGGACCTCTCACGCCCAGGAAATCAAGGCCATGACAAAGCGCAAACCGGGTCAGGTCAGCCCTGGAACTGAGGTGCAGGGGGTGCCCACCGTGGAATGAGGGGCACCGGGGACACCGGAGCGCCCGGCCCTGAGCTCCCAGGGAAGGGCAGAGACACGTGGATGCTCCCGGGAGCGGAGCAGAGCCAGAGCCAGGGCCGGGGGCTGGGGACCGGGGGCTGGGGGCCGGGAGAGGGGAGCCGGTGAGCGGCGGGAGAAGGTTCCGGCCAGGGTCCTCCTTACCGTCCGCGTTAGCCTCGGGGTCGAAACGCTGGCCACAGCCGCGGTTGTAACACAGAAGCGCCATTCCGTCTCCTAGGTGAAACGCACACCACGGGGACTAAAAGGAAACCAGCACTCCGGTGCAGGCCGCCGCCGCCGCCGGCTTCCGGAAGACGCCGGTGCCGCTTCAGGAATTTTCGCGAACCTTCGGGTTGCACAGGCGCAGAAGAGACTGGAAGGAGGGTCGGAGCCTGGCGCGGGGCGGTTGATTTCCCCGCCGGACTCCCTCAGGTGAGCGCCGTGGGGGGGGAAGGGGAACCCGGACAGTTATAGATGAGACACCCAAGGGCGGAAGCGGAAGGCCCGGACGAGCCTCGCTCCCTTTGTGGCCCGCCTCCTTCCGGGCGCTGGCGGCGGTGTGCGATGTGCGGTGTGCGGTGTGCGGTGTGTGGTGTGCGGGTCCTGGACAGGAGGCCGTGGCGCTGCCGAGTCCTCGGCGCAGACGCCCGCCTGGCCGGGGGTGAGTGAGGAGGGGTGAGGACCGCCCGTTTAACCGGCCCCCTGATCCAGATCTGCGCAGCCTCAGCACCAAGGTTCTTCCGGGACTGTCAGTAACCGAGGAAATCGGTTAAGTCGCTTTAAAAACACACAGCACTTTAGAATGGAAAAAAAAAAAAAGGTATGGCTCAAGTGCATCCCGAGAATTAATCACAATTCTACGATGAAATTTCCCACGAGCTGCCACTTAACTTACTATTAAATTTCAAGTTCAGTGTGCAAAGCACACCATTACGTTAGTAGACACCTTGGAAAACAGTGTTATCCTGAGCGCATACTTTCTATAGGGGGCTTTTGAAGTAGCAAACACTTTTGATGATAGATACAACCAAAAAAGATGTGTACTTTCCCAACGATCCCAAGTTTATCATTAATGCAGACCTCACAATCTTCCCATCCCAGTAATAGCCTTCTCACTTTCCACATCCTTTTAATGCCTAGACATACCAAATTTATGTATTTCTCCAATATAAATAAAACGATGTATTCAGTTAACCTAAGATGATTTCCATTTTGTGTCATTGTCAACTCATTTATGGTTATTGTTATGAATGATGGAATAGTTTGTTGAATTCTGTCACTTACACGTTGTCCTATAATCTCACCAACTTAATGTGCCCAAGTCAGTAATCAATTTATTGTGCATTGCTTACCCCTAGGAAGTAGCTAATACTGTGTACAATAAGCTTTTTTCTTTTTGCTTTTTTGAGACGGGGTTTTTCTGTGTAGCTTCCGAACTGGCCCTGGAACTCTCTCTGTAGATCAGACTGACCTGGAACTCCCAGAAATCAATTTACCTCTGCCTCCCGAGTGCTGGGATTAAAGGTGCACCACCACTGCTCGGCTTGGGCATAAGACTTTGAAATATGTGTAAGTTTTTAAACTTCCTATTGCCTATATATTGCCAGTTGATTTCTAAAAGGTGGTACCAACTTTCATTTTAGCCATGAATATCTAGTACAGTAGATAACAGAAATGAGTCATAAATAATAATAAGTGGATGGAGAGCTCTAAAAACGATTGTAACGGTTCCAGTGTTGCATGTCATAGTGTCACAGTGTCATTAGACAATATGAAGTAGTCTTAATATTTAATGTCAGTTGGTTTTCATGGAAACACATTTACATTCAGAAGATAATTGCTCTTAGTACATAGATTTTTTAAAAAATTACAAAAATAGGATAAAAACAAGTGTGCATCTGGGAGAGTTCAGACTATACATGGCCAGATTGAGCTGGGCCACTTGGGAGAGAGAGGGGAAGGGAAACAGGAACCAGGTGCTACAGCCTGGAGGCCAAATGTGCAAAAGGGGCAGGTAACCAAAATATCTGGATTATAGAGGGAAAAGCCTCTGGCCAAAGTCAGAGCAGCCCCTGTGCTGAAGAGTTGAGGGTAGAGGGCAACGTATGCCAGCCATCCCATAGAGAAGGTAGGGACTGAGGGATGCTGGGAGAAGGTGGGGGCCAAGTCTGCGTTGGTATTTTAAGTGGGAGTTTCAGCCCTTTGTCCAGGGGTGGACACTTACTGTCTTGCAGATCATTCCGAATTGCTGAACACCTTTAAATGTGTGGCAGTTTGAACGGCTACAAGACCTCAAGCTTTTGACGTTTTTATTAAGTTGGGTTTCTGTTTGATTTTTCCTTTTGGACACAGGGTCTCATTTGTTCACACTGGGCTCCGTCTCCCTGTGAATCGTAGAATAACCTTGAACTCCTGATGTTCTGTTGTTCCCTCCCAGTTTACCATTTACTCTGTTACTAAGATTCCTATGCTGCTAGAGATTGAATTTAGAGCTCAGTGTAAGTGAGGCCAATACCTACCAACTGAACTAACAAGAATCTTTTTAAATGGGCAACACGAATTGGACTTTTTTTTTCTTCTTCTTGATTTCAGGGAGGGGGGGGCGTCCACAGGGGTGGGAGGAAGGACCCACATGGTTGGGCGGGCAGATCTGGGAGAACTGGGAAGTGAGTGTGCTTGGAGTCATGATGTGAAATTCCCAAATAATCAATGAAAATATTATAAAACAATAAAGATTTCAAGTTGGGTGTGGGTATATGCCTGTCCTTCCATCAGTCAAGAGGCTAAGACAGGATGAAATACATATTATCATTGGGGCCTGAGAATCCATGGAGAAAACCTCCAGACTCAAATAATATGCAAACACAGAGCCTTCATTCTGTAGAAAAAGCCAGCATACAGGAGTGGATCATCCACACAAAATGGCCATGACGACCCAGGCACGAAAGCCCTTTTAAAGGGAATTCTAAGTATGGTGAGCTAATCTCTGTTCTATTTGGGCAGTCAAGGAGCAGTTACATGGGTTGTATGTTGATTGGACAGGACTAAGTTTCACCCATTGTGGACTTTTTAGTCATATATGGTCAGTAACAGCCATATCCTGCAACTTTGGGTCTCCCAGCCTTATAAGGCCAGATTTGAAACTATTTAGTTCATTAGCTAAACTTGGCTGCAAGATTTTGTGAACTCAGGCTTAAGTCATTATCTACAATTGAGTTGCTTTGTGTCTAAGATGGAGTTACATTCTGATCCCTTCAGTGTAACTTCTCAAATAAATAAATAAGCAGTAGATATTACAAACAAGAATACATTGGTTTTTTTTTTTTTTTTTTGGTTTTTCGAGACAGTATAGCACAAAAATTAAAAAAGCAGAGACTGATACTGGGGTTAGGCTTCAAACTGAAGATCAGAAAAGCAAAGCAGCCAGCCACTAGCTCTTACCTCTGTCTCAGACTGAAAGGGCTGATCCTGTCTCCACAAGATCTCCACCACGCCTCAGACTGCTGCCTCTCCTCAGCGTGGCTGATGCTGAAGACCCTGCTCCTCTGTTTTATACCTCTCTAGTGCCGGGATTAAAGGCGTCAGCTCTGTTGCTCTTTTGACTGATTCAATACAGTGTAGCACTGGGTGACCTTGAACTCAGAGAGATCTATCTGCCGTTGTCTCCTAAATACTGGAATTAAAGGTGTGTGTCACGGCCGGGCGGTGGTGGCGCACGCCTTTAATCCCAGCACTCGGGAGGCAGAGGCAGGCGGATCTCTGTGAGTTCGAGGCCGGGCTGGACCGACAGCCTCCAAAACAATACATAGAAACCCTGTCTCATAAAACCAAAAAAAAAAAAAACCTCCAAAACAATACATAGAAACCCTGTCTCATAAAACCAAAAAAAAAAAACAAAGGTGTGTGCCACCACTGTCTGGCTTCTGTGCTAACTAGTATGGCTGCTTTGCTATTTTGACCTCCAGTGGCTCTAATAAACCATAATATATCCCCACAACAGTTTCTTTGTAGTTTTGGAGCCTATCCTGGAGCTCTCTTTGTATACCATACTGGGCCTCTAACTTACAGAGATCCACCAGTCTCTGCCTCCTGAGTGCTGCCATTAAAGGTGTTTACCATCGCCATCTAGCAGTAATTTCTTTTTTTTTTTTGGTTTTCGAGACAGGGTTTCTCTGTGGCTTTGGAGGCTGTCCTGGTACTAGCTCTTGTAGACCAGGCTGGCCTCGAACTCACAGAGATCCGCCTGCCTCTGCCTCCCAAGTGCTGGGATTAAAGGCGTGTGCCACCAATGCCCAGCCCAAACATATTTTTTAATTAAACCTTTAAAAATGAAATTTACTGTAGCTCATTTTTATGGTGCTGGTGGTGCATGCCTTTAATCCTAGCACTTGGGAGGCAGAGGTAGGTGGATCTCTGTGAGTTCTAGACAGGCTCCAAAACTACACAGAGAAGCCCTATCTCAAAAAAAAAAAAGTTCTACAGAAAAAGGACAACTTTACATATAGTACTCTAAGCTATTGTCAATTAGGAATGACTTCCTTATGCAATAATGGCAAGCATCTTCTAAAAATTACATTTTTATTATCTAAAATATTAGCTTTTTAAAAATGACCAGTTTTTGCCAAAATTTATCTGTGATGATACACATAAATGCTAGACAAATTGTCTTGTTGAGATTACCAGATTTTTTATTTTTACTTCAAACTGTTATTTGCATTAAATTTTTCTAAAATCTCGTCTTTGCATAGAATTACTAAATCTTTCAGTTTCTACATTTTATATTCCTGACTCTAATTTCGAAGTATTCTGAATAATACTATCTTAAGAATGAGATGGTGTGTCTTGTGGTTTCCTTCCTTCTAAACTAGGCATGTATTGTGCAATTTGTTATGTGAAATAAGAACATTTTATGAAACCATGAGGATATTAAAGTGTACTTTATATGTTTCACTAAAATAAAACTTGTAGAAAACAGGAATTTATATTTCTTTTTTCATTATTATGTTACTACTTCCTCAGTTGTTACAGCAATGGTTGACATAATACCCAATAAATATATGTTGAGCAAGTGACTATATATAGACATACACTTATATATATATATGTGGTGCCTTGAAAGAAAATGGCCTCCCAAGAAGTGGCACTATTAGGAGGTGTGAGTTTGTTGCAGTAGGTATTGCCTTGTTGAAGGAAGTATGTCACTGTGGAGGCAGGTTTTTAGGTCTCATATATGCTCAAGCCATGCCCAGTATCTCAGTTCACTTCCTATTGCCTGCATGTCAATATGTAAAACTCTCAGCTCCTTCAGCTCCTTCTCTACCACCATGCCTTCTAGTATGCCGCAGTGTCCCAACATGATGATAATGAACCTAATCTCTTAAATGTAAGCCATCCCAATTAAATGTTTTCCTTTGTAATAGTTGCTGTGGTC